CTGGGTGGCATCTACCAACCACCCACCTGTGGGGCAGCGCACAACCAGCTCCTACTCAGCGCCATCACAGGGATACAGGACTTCGACTACGACCAAACCACCATAGCTTGAGATTTCAATGCCCCGTCACTGAACCTTGGCTCGGGGTATGTTCAGGAAAAATTTGGTTGAAATCTGCTGTAATTCACTAGAAGTACAGGACTGATTGGGAATACTGGAGACTACACTAGGTGTGATCCTAATGGAAAGTCATCGAATCTAGATAACATTCCAACTAAGGACCAACAACTTGTAAAAAAGGTCCAGATTATGACTCCACTAGGAATTAGTGTACATGCAGTCATGAGATTCTATCTTGTTCTCCGTGAGCACTTACACTAGACGCTACGCGACCACGACTGCGCTACAACAAAGCGGACCGTGCTAAAATGCGGAGACTTTTGTTCGACGCGGAGAGGCCCATAGAATGGGCTGAGTTTCCTGTGGACAAACAGCGGCAAGTAGCATGAGAGATTATCCACACAGTAATCTCAAATACTGTCCCTTTAGTCACAACATAGCCAAGAAAGGTCCTCATGGCTGAAGAGAGGTATGCAACGTATTCTTAAAGCAAGGCTTTGTCTGTGTGGCTAGTATCGAAGAGTCAGAACAACCATGACGCATACCTGAAACTTAAAAACCAGTGCAACACAAGAGTCAGGAGTGACAGAAAGTCATCTCAGGCTAAACTCGCTAAAAAAAACTAATGGCGAATCCCAGCAGCCTTTTCTAACTCATGTCGGCGAAAAAACCAGCCAACCAAAGGGCATGCACCTTGGTAGGTCTAAGCGGTTAATAATTCACTAGTCTGGAGATGCCTGGAAAATTCAGTTTAGCCTCCCCCAAACAGTTGTACAGCAATGCGGGTATTACTGGTACCAACCAAAATGGCGGCACTACTACTTCACCGGAGGGAGACCTACTGGCTACTCCCCAAATAAACCGGGCAATAATACTGGGGGAGCTACAGAGACTCACATCTGGAAAGTCCCCAGGATGTGATGACATCTGGCAATCTGTTCTGAAGAAGTGCACCGAAGCCCTCTGTAGGTCCTTATGCGACTTGTCGAAACGCTCGATGGGTTTGAGGGAACTGCCAAGGGAATGGGAAGGAGCTATCCTTTCTCTGATTTTCAAGGGTGGGGATGGGCAAAATGTCACTAGTTATAAACCAGTAGCGCTACTCCCAGAGGTATCAAAAGTACCAGAAAGTATTATTGATGATCATGTCAAGGAGCACCTGGATCGAACCAATAGACTCCATGAAGCCTAGCACGGTCTCAGGAAAGGCATATCCTGTGTAACGAGCCTACTATCAGCTTGGGACGATTGAACATCCTGCTAGGATATGAATGTTTCAGTCCATGTGGTCTTCCTAAACTTTGAAAAGGCATTTGACACAGTTCACCATGACCCTCTTCTACTCAAAATACGTCATGCAGCTATAGTTAAGTCGCTTCTGTCATGGGTGAGGGACTACCTTGCTGAAAGAAAATCTTGCACTAAGGTCAATCGAGTCCGATCATCTTGGCACGGTTGGTCGTCAGAAGGGCCACAGGGCTGTATCCTAGGGCCAATGATGGCTTTGATTTTTATCAACGACCTACCATGACGTCTAAACCTCTCGAATCTTCTATACTCTGATGACGTTAAGATATGCAGTGCAGTAAAGTTTCCGGAAGATTCAGATAGTGTGCAAGTAGATCCAAAGCTTCTGGAAGACTGAGAGGTGGCCAGTGGCATGACTTTTTTTATTTACAGCTTGATTCCACACTGTATTTTTGGTACAAGTATGGAATTTTCAGCATGGGTATCGGTAGCCCAAATTTTGCAGGCCGACCATAGATATCAGGTGTGCGTCGGTGCGGGCTCGAACCCCGGACCATGTGCATGATCGGCGAGAGTCCTAACCACTGTGCCACCGAAGAAGTGACAAGTAGTGAAATTACGCACCTGTAGGCTGCAGAATGCAAGTTACACCACGTGCAACGAAAGGTCGTCCTGCACAACGTCGAAGCATGACTTAGGTCTAGTTATAATGGAAAAAATAGATATAAGCGTAAACTACATGGAGAATTTGGCGAGGGCATACGTGGTCATATACTTTACGCACAGAGAATTAAGTGCACCCGCTCATGAGCCCTTTCCAAGGTTGTACAAAACATACGTCAGGCCACACCTTGAAGTGCATAATATCACTGCACTCCCACTGCTTAGAAGAGACGCAAACCTCTTGGAAAGAATGCAAAGATGGGCGACAAAAGGAGTGATGGGTCTCTGAAATAAACTGCATGATGAAAAGCTGAAGAAATTAGGCCTATTCAAACTTAGCCACTGTCGGCTTAGGGGGAATTAATTACTACCTAAAAGATAACGAATGACCCGAATCACCCAAACAAAGGTGTTTTGCTTTTGGGTAGGTATAGGTTTCCTAGTAGAAATCCCAGAAGGACAGCTCACCAGAGGACAAGGCCCCGGGTGCAATCCCACTTCTTTTCACCGTGTATTTGCCGTCCCTGAAACTCCTTACCGGCAGATGTAGCAACTGTACCATCTGTGGACAGCTTTAAAAGAAGGGTGGGCGATCATGCAGCGACTCACGGACTGCGTCAGAATGGCTCATCCCCCTAAAATCCCATACACAGTTCATGGGTAGCCAACTCAATTCGTCGTTTCACTTCTTTGCAACTCTCTCCTGTCTTACTCTCCTGACAACTCCAACTACTAGATTACGCTTATTATAATTATCATCAGTATTGATATTATGTACATATGTATATGCATTTCAGCCTCAAATTTAATTAGCTGCCTGTTTTTACGTTCTCTTTACTTGTTTTTGTGTCTTTTAGTCTGAATAACCCACACTAATTATGTTATCATTACAATTATCTTCTTTCTTTTGATGACGACGCTGAGGGAATAATTGGTGAAAGAAACAACTCCATTCACAGTAGCAACAAAGTCTTTAAAAACCGCATACTACAAACAACATATAATTAATCCCAGAGACGGCTAGTATTCGATTGCGTTCGTTACTCAAAAAGGCTTTACTCGTATATTAAACGTAGGACTAAAACTAGCAGTGGTATACCGTCACTCATAACCGTAAGTGGAGAAGCGGCTGAGTCAGACGAAGGAAAGGCTGAAAAACTCTCTGAATACTTCTGTGACGTCTTCTCGTCTGATAGTACCACCCAGGGATATGGCGAGGTCACTGCCATTGCCACTCAGATGTCTTCAATTGTGGTAGAGCGCACAAAGGTTCTCAAAATACTGTCTAAACTGAAGCCAGGTAAATCACCTGGGCCGGATGGACTTCACCCTAAGCTGTTAATTTCCTTGGTGGATATAATTTATATTTCGCTTACAGAGATTTTCCAAATGTCTCTGACGCAGGTTAAGTTACCCAGGGACTGGAAGGATGCCATTATAAGCCCTATCTTCAAAGACGGGGGTAGGTAATTGGTATCTAACTACAGGCCGGTAAGTCTGACATGCATTACTGCAAAGGTATTGGAAATTATTATAAGGGACCAAATATTGGCTTATGTTGAAACACATGGCTTGTTAGCTATGGAACAGCATAGATTCCGACCAGGACGATCCTGCCTGACAAACCTACTTTTGGCTAGGGAAGACTGGGTTGAGGCCAGAGATAGGAACCACCTGTTGGACGTGGTTTTTATTGATCTTAGCAAGGCATTCGACAAGGTATCCCACTTAGGTCTCCTTAGTAAACTTAAAGGTTTCGGACTGGACCAGTGCCTATGTTAGTGGTTTAGAGATTATCTAATGGAAAGAAGGCAGAAGGTTAGAGTCAACGGTGTACTATCAGGATGGAAAGCAGTATCCAGTAGAGTGCCCCAGGAAACTGTATTAGGTCCCTTGCTATTCCTATTATACGTTAACGAATTACCAGGGATTCTTTCTTCATCTTCATTATTATTTGCAGATGACATTAAGATATGGAAAACTGTAAATAATAACGAGGATAGGTCGGCCCTACAAACTGATTTAGATAAATTAGCTGAATGGTCAAGCCTATGGAGTTTGGAAATGAATACTAGGAAAAGCGCGGTAATGCACTTAGGTCAGAAGTCTTATACGTCGTACTCCCCAGGAGACGCAGAACTACCTGATGTTAACGAACAGAAGGGCCTAGGAATCACTATCAGCAATGATTTGAAAACAACTGCAAATTGCAATGCAGCCGCAGCTAAAGCTTTTCGAATGATATGGGCACTTCGAAGGGCTTTCAAACGAAGGCATGTTCCAAATACTCTACGCAACATATGTCAGGCCTCATCCAGAATACTGCATACAAGCGACGAGTCCATGCTTCGAAAAGGAGGCACATATTCTAGAAAGAGTACAGAGAGTAGGAACAAAATTAGTTAGTGGTATCTCACACCTTCCTTATGACAAGAGGATGAAACATTTAAATCTCTTCCCGTTATCATACCGAAGGAAGAGAGGCGACTTAATTTTAGCATACCATATACTTAAGGGTGATCTAGGAACTGACCTTTCTAACTTTTTCTCCCCTTCTAGGATACATTTACGGGGTCACCGCAAAAGGGTGCTCAAACCGAGCACGATTAAAATACGTGCAGAATTTAAATTCTCTCACAGAGTGGTCAACGATTGAAACTCCTTATCTGATTCAGTAGTATCAGCTCCATCGGTGAACGCTTTCAAAGAGAAGTTAAATCTCTGCAGAGATATATTTCGCAAGTATTAACACAGGCTACAAGAGCCTTCTATCCTTATCATTTGAATCTGAATTGAATATGCAGAGTAAAAATTCTCCAATCGAGGCACTAACTGCTGCAAATGGCTTCCAAAATAACTATTGTTTGCGCCTTCAGTCGACTCGTTAGAGACATCATTATTATTAAGAACGCTAACACAGACTTGAAGACTTCTGTTTCCAAACAAATATCTTAATTGTGAAATCTATTGGACATTGGAAGGCGGAAAGTTAAGGTCAAGGAGAGCAGGTTGGGCGTTTTACGAAACTCAGCACTGAGAGCTGATTTTCCAGTAGTACTTGCTTCCGCAGTACATCTAACAAATAATACTAAAAATGTGGCAGGAAGCACGCAAGCAAGAAAAGCACATTAAGACCCTGATGGTTGATTATAAGAGAAGGGCAGAGAGAAGAAGAGACTATTATGAGCGTATTGTAAGGATTTTCTATGTTGCTGATAGTTTTCCCCTATAGAAACAGGATCCCATTAAGTTCTTGCGTGTTTTTGGCAGGAGTTCGAAGCTTCATTTGGACTCAGAAGTGACAAAAGCTGCTGAAAACCCAAACAACATGTAATTTCCAGTTATTCCCCTTCCATATATCTCTATGTTTACTGAGAATAATTCTAAATTATGGTTTACATGTGGAGTTTGTAGAGGTTGAGCGCAAAATTAGTTGCATAAGCAGGTATTCCTTGTTCACTGTGGCGTAATTATTGTGTGGAAACTAAATGTCCTAGTTTCTACTTCCACTAACAATGGCCTCAGTATGCAGTTATAGTGCTGTGTATAAGAAAAGAACCACGGACGCAACTGCACCTCTTTTAAATAACCTGGGAACCATTATTTGCCATTTGTAGCCCCTAATTCTTCAGCCATTCTCTGCGTTTGTTTTGTAAGACTGACAGCATCTAAGAAGTTTGGTGATATCTGTTATAGCAATATTGATTATCTAACGTTATATGAAATCAGTCAGTATTATCCATCAGGGCAGCGAGCGGTTCAGTAGGCTTTCACTGTTACGTTCAATGTAGATTCTCTGTCAACTCAATTTTAACCTAATTTCCTACTAGCCTAAAATGATGCGTACTTTTTGGTTTTATTACAGGGAACAGTGGTAGTCACGCACTATATCACTGCCTCATTAATCTTAAGTTGTAATATGTGCTAAAGATGCCCAGTGACTTGGTTGGTATATTTGTCAAATGACACGATCTAGCGTTGTATTTTCTTACGTCCTAAAAATAATTGTGATGTTATTTTGAAAAGTGGTCAGCAAATATCAGAGCATCTTGACACTTATGAGCTCACAAATGCACGGAAATCCATGTTAGAAATCTCTGAATAGGTCAATGAGCTAAAGTATTTGCAGTTTAAATCCATAAATTGTGCTTAGAAAAAGGACGAGGTGCAAACAGAGCTTTAGTATTAGTTAGCAATGGTTAATTCTTTAGACTTATTAAGAGTTGGGTTTGTGATGTAATTTTGACTCATAGTTATTTTAATGGCTCAGCTGAATTTACTCCCTGCCATAGATTCTCATTATCACCTATCCACTTACTCTTTGCTTCATATATTTCCGATTATCATAATGTATTTCCATGCGTGCTTTATGAGGTGTAACAACTTGAAGTACGTTGGAAATCCAGTTCATTTCTGTGGCGTAGTGTGGTTAGAAGTGACTCAGTGCGTCTGAATTTCAGTTCACATTTCATTACAATCTTAACCAAATAGCTCTGACAGTTGGTCGTAAGTTCTTGTGTTGGAAACAATTTTTAAACAATGACATCTGTAATCATCAAATGTGCAATTGGAGCGTAGTAAGACGATGTATGTGATATCCGGTTGTCAATAAAAGGACATGCATAATGCTCAACAGTTCTCTCCATCCTCCTTTGTGGCTGTGAGACATGGCAATTGGAAATGAAAGACGTGAAAAAGACTGGCTGTCTATGATCGTAGGTTTCTTCGTTCTGCCTCCTGTGGTAGGTGGTATAATAGGGTGAATAATATTGGAGTCAGGCTTCGGTCGAGTGTTAGGCAGTGAGGGTAAGTCAATCGATGAGGTCTGTCTGTTTTCGACATAGAACTTTGCACAAATATGCGGAAGTTCAAGTCGCCACATTCCGTGTAGCACGCGAAGCAAGAGAAGAAAGTACAAGAAAAGCATAATAGAAACAGTGAGCAGAGGTGTGAGACAAAGGAGTAATAAAGAAATACAAAACAGTTTCATTGAAGATCATAAGTCACAGGGAGTGGATGCATCTGCGCCACTGAGAACGATTTTGAGCCATGTCACCAATTGTTTCCAACCATAGATTTTTACCGTCCCGAGGACCCCAACCAGTCAGGAAGTCTACACCTTCCTACGTGGCTTAGACCAACTTTTGTGGATTTCATTGACTGGTAAAGCCAAGTTTTTGTTTGACCGCCGCTAGCTTTTTTCCAGCCTGACCCTATATCCGCTAACATTGCTCGTCGAGGGAGGCGATGACTTGGCATACGTAACACATGTCCTAACCATCTCAGTCTTTGTAGCTTCACGACTTCGTCGATTGATTTCCCCAGTTTACCTAGAACTCTACGCCTAACCACAATGTTGCTCACCTTATTATGCCACTTTACACGGGAAATAGAGCGCAGGCACCTATGATCAAAGACAGCTAGTCTTTTCATGTCTTCCACTCTGAGTGGCCAGGTCTCACAACCATAAAGGAGGACGGAGCGAACTGATGAGCAGTACACCCGCCCTTTGGTCGATAGTCGAACATCTCGTCTACGCCAGAGTCGGCGTAAACTAACAAATGCGAGACGAGCCCCCTGTATTCGTGCTGAGATTTCGTCAGAGATCAGCCCGTTGGCACTGGCTGATGGTACTTCCCAAATAAGTGAAGCGGTCAACGTGCTCTACCACTTCACTTCCTATTTTTAAACTAGGCGGCGATGTAGTCCAGTCCTGTAACATCATCTTGCATTTGGCGGGAGCGAATCGCATGCCAAACATTCGTAGATTGCGGCTCAAGGTGTTTAGAAGACTCTGCATTTCGTCAGCGTCTTCACCTAGAAGGACTATATCGTCTGCATATTCTAAGTCAACGAGATTATTCCCCGGTAGCAAGTCAATTCCTGAGTCACTGAAGTCACCTAGGGTTAAGTCCATTAACACATCTATGATGAAGTTGAATAGAAAAGGGGATAATGGGCATCCTTGACGGACACCACTGGTCGTCATCAGTTCAGATGACAGCTCGCCGTAAGCCCTCACCTGGCTGTATGAGTACGAGTAGAGTGCCTTAATCAGTGCAATATATTTTCTTGGAATTCCCTTTACAGCCAAGCATCTCCAGAGAACTTCCCGATCGACAGAGTCGAATGCTGCCTTTAGGTCAAGAAATATAATGACTGTTGGACGCCGGTAGGATGAGGTTGTGAATGTGAGTAGATTGAGATGACTAAGACACGTGCTGCACACGCCGGGCCACCACCGTCCTCGATAAACATCATTTACTGACGTAGGATAAAGCTAGAAAACAGTTTGGTCAAACCAAAATGTGACACCAGTCTAGGGATTCTTTGACAGTTGATTTGAGCCAGGCACGTAGAGAGGTGTAGACTGCCTGGTTGTGGTCCTCGAGATGATAAGATCCAATGGCTGGAGAATGTTGGTAATATGATTCAAAATCTTTCTTCATGACGCACATGTATTCACTCTTGATCTTAAACCATTTTGTTTTTTCATGTTACCATTCTTCTCCTCACATTTATGCTCAATTAAGTTCTTTTGAATCTCTCTTTACTCTCTTCTCTTGCTTTATGTATTACATGGAGAGTGGCAAGTTGAACCGTTGCACATCTCTGCAAAGTCCTACGTTGAAACCAGTCAGTCAGTCAATGGGATGCACGACCAATGGGCAAATTTTAAAATTAGTCATGTTTTTATTTTCAGACTAAAATCCTCATATGCCTGGTACTTGACTGCAAAATGATGTATGTGTGCGCCATCCAGTCGTGATTGTAATCACTAGGTCTGTATTACGGGGGACTCTGTCCTGAAAGAGCTGTTCGAGGAGTCATGACTAGCTACACATCAATTCAGCCTTAAGGGGTATTAATGGTCAGGCGTACTTGCTGTAAATTTTCATGCAGTATGTTACATTTCTTTGTCACACACTAACTTTCCCTCATAAATTAGCACAGTGCACAAATTAGCTTATACAGATTCTTTTGAAAAGAATTAACGGCTTCACAGTTTTTTCAAATCTCTTAAAACTACTTCGTCACGGAAGACTAGTTTTGTTACAAATCTCATGGGTACAATGGTCACGTGTTCACTTTCTTCCAGTTACGGAAATACCGTCAAAATTATTGCAGGCGAATAACCGCTGTGTCCTTTAATATTTATGTTACTGTCGATTCGTTAGACGTGACTCCCCTTTATTTGTTATGAAGAGGTGTATTTAAGTTTAAGTAGTAGTCCTATACTAATCAATTTAGGTATAATGACGGTATCCATTCACCTATAACCATTTTTCCTAACCAACAGTTTGATTAAACAAGGTTGCCCAATTCTGTTATTTCTCTTTAACCTATCTATCGACATTTTGGATACGGTTTTAAATGTTGTGTGGAATGATGGTGTGGATTAGTTATCAGGTGGATGAATGTTCTACCTTGAGTGTGCAAATAATATCATCCTACTTTGCAACAACCCACTAGCTACCCAGATTGTACTTAATTGGTTTATGGTTAGTCTTAGTGAGTACGAAGTATTATTAGAAGATTGGTAGGAGCATTTACTCACATTCAACTTCATGTGTAAACCTCTAGAAGTAGTCGAAAAATCTGTATATTTAGGTAGCTGTGTGATTGCTAGTAGTGTAACGGATAAAATATTCACCCCTTATATCAAAAATAGGAGTGCATTACACCCACCGTTTTAGGTTGCTCCTGGTGCTGTTGGAGTGTTAGGCCCACCGTCAAAGACTATTTTTACAATGCTTTGGTGCGTACGGCCTTTCTGGGCTCTCGTAAGCTCTTCAGTTTGAGGATGTTTCGTGTCCTCATTTGATCACTGCTATCTCTATAGGATTGTCTGCGTTCACTAGCGGCACTATATGGGTAGTTCTGAGGTCCGAAAACACGTGTCTTGATTGGTTAAAGACCAATGTTCAGTAGGTCACTCCACCTTGATGCTATGACTGGTGGTTCGGACGTGTGTTACGAATCTTATCGTAGTGGCTTGCATATCCTTAATTGTTCCAGAATTTTGAGGCTGATTTGCAAAGGAGGTGATGTGGTAAGCCCATGATATGGATAAATGTGTTGGATTAGTATATATTCATGCATTACGACTCTGTGGATGACGTCCGTGAGATCGTACAACCACAGTGCTTACACTTAACCCAAGACATTATCATATATGACTCAAAGTGTTCTTCGTTCTTGTTCTTTGTTATTACTATTCCTTTGTCTCACACCTCTGTTTACTGTCCCTGTTATGCATTTCTCTTGTTTTGTGTGCTACACGCAGGGAGTGTGGCGACTTGAACTGCTGCACATCGGTGCAAAGTTCTATGTCGAAAACAAACAGACAGATATGACTCAAAGCCAGTTTTGCTGACGTATACTATGGAATTTATTTTATTTTACCAACAAAAGTAATAAATTTATCTTTCGACATACCTTGTTAGTGTGCTTACCTTTCTCATTCTGTGATCTCTCAAACGTTTTATTTCTCTTATAGTATTATTAGGTTATTTTGTGTTGCGTATTCTTTTCTGCTAAGTCTGTCTGATGAGAGTGAGGCAAGGCTGTCTATTATCGCCAATGATCTTCCTGATTGCAGTAGACAGACAACGGGCAATGAGGAAACAGGTATAAAATGGACTCACATAAAAAAACTTGGAGGATCTGGACTTCGCCGATGACACATTTATGTCTGACTTCCCACAAACTGGAGGATATGCAAGTGAAGAGCAACAAGTTGCCACAAGAAACATCAAAGATAGCACTTCAAGTGAACACAGAGAAAACAGGGGTGATGAAGATTCCTGACCAATGCCAACAGCAGCAACAACAACAGACAACAATCAGCCAGCATAAATGGGAGGAACCTGAAAGAAACAACCTCCTTCACCTACCTGGGAAGCATCGTTTCAACTACAGACGAAGCTGACGAGGATATCAAAGCCAGAATCGGAAAAAGAAGACAGGCTCTCATTACCCTTAAGTCTGGGTGGAGGTAACAGCACTACTCAGCATCAGAAATAAGATCCGGATTTTGAACTCCAATGTAAAGTCAGTGCTACTATACTGATCAGAGACTTGGCGCGTCATAAAGAGCATCTCAAACAAACTTCAGACCTTCAGTAACAGTTGTCTTCGCTCGATACTCATGATCAGATGGCCAGAAAAGATCAACAACAGGGGTCTCTGGCAATGAGCGAACCAACCAGGAACCGATTGTGAAACAAACAGACAGGGAGAAATGGAGATGGATTGGCCATACTCTGAGGAAACCAACAAGTGACATCACTAGACAAGCCATTGGTCGAGTGGAACCCGAAAGGGAAGCGGCGAGTTGGTCGTCCAAGGATGGGGTGACTTGGAGGAGGAGATGGAAGCATGTGGTCAGACTTGGAGTGGGGTGAAAAAGTTGTCAGAAAACAGAAGGCAATGGAGGTGCGCAGCTGAAGCCCTATGTTCCTCTAGGAATTAAAGGATATAATAATAATAAGTCTGTCTGTCTGTCTGAGTAACTTCTTAGTCATTGATTTATTTTTTCCACCTCAAATCGGCACCTAAATTTTTATAGTATCTCCCAAGAATGACGTAAACACACGTGTGATTTCTAGACTGTGCCGCTAATTAGTTTCATGGTAGAAGAATATCTGTGCAATTTGCATAAACCGTTTTTCCCTACCCAGCTTTGCTTATTGTTTATTACCTCTCAGCACCTCCATTTTTATCCCTTTGTGTTTAATGGGCTGTAGCACTAGAGATGCCATGTCGGTTGTTTTGAGTAATGTTGACATTTAGTACCTTACAGTGAATTTATAGTTAGCGCATTACAAAGGAAACTTAAGGTTGTAATTCTTGTTTGTACCGTATACGTCTTCACCGTATCACCAATCTTAAAACTAATTTACTTTTTTCCTCTTCTTTGTAATATCGATAAGGATGCCGTGGATCGGTGATCCATCTATCATGATCGATCGCTTTGATGTTCGAGCTGGTCTAGAAAATTATGATACACAAGCACCTGAAGACATCAAGTATGTGTTTGCCGCTTATATAGGATTTATTATCATCTAAATTTAGACTGTCATCAACAGAAAGAATTGAAGCAAGATTATGCAACTATGAACGTTATCGTTGTCTCATCCATAATGAATTTGCATCAGGTATGGATATTTTCCATTGTATATTATATTATGTTAGTATAAAATTAAAAAAAGTGTCTATATATTTCATAAACTTGACTTCTTTTATTGAAATTTTTCAGTTGCCTGAGGAATTTAAAAAATTACATAGTTATAGTGATTAGAACAAAATAATTGCAAAACAAACGGACTATTTATAACAGCTGATACACCAACAACTTTTGAAATCGCTATAGTATACCGTGACTCTGTAGACTCCAAGTGAACATAGACAAGACGGAGGTTATAAATATAACCAACCAACAACAGCAGCAGCAACAACATCCAGCGCCAATCACCATCAACCGGAGTGTTTTGAAAGAGGTTACTTCATTCACTTATCTAGGGAGCATTGTCTCAACTACAGTTAGTCGGACCGGACGAGGATGTCAAATCGAGCGAGAATCGAGAAGGCGAGAAACACATTCATCAACCTAAAACCAATGTGGAAATCTTCGTCACTCAGCCAGAATCAACAACAAAATTCAGTCGGATTTTCAATACAAACAACGTCAAGTCACTTCTTCTATACGGATCACAAAGAATATTTCCAACAGGCTATTGCAGACCTTTATTAACAACTGTCTTTGCTCCATACTGAAGATCAGATGGCCGGGCCGGAAATAATCACCAACAGGGAACTATGAGAACAAACAAAACAAGAACCAATCGCCCAACAAATATGCAGGAGAAAGTAGAGATGGATTGGATGGGCATTCGCTGAGGAGGCCGCTGGGCGACATCGCGTGTCGGGCCATTACTCGAGTGGAACCCGAAAGGGAAGCAGGCGGCGAGTGGGTGACATGGAGGAGATCATGTGAAGAGGAGTTGAAAGAGTATGGACTGAGATGGATGCAGGTGAAAAGTAAAGAAGAAGGAAGACAGAAGCAAGTGGAGACGTGCAGTTGAAGCCCTATGTTCCACTAGGAACCCAAGGGAACAATAATAATCTTACCGTAGATTCTGATATTTGTCTACTATTGATGTGATCATAATTTCTAACTGAACCCAATGTTCAATTAAGCTGGTTTCCATGTAGTCATCGTTATCAAATTTTCTTAGTTCATAAACTTCATTACTGAGTGACGCTAGTTCGACTTATGCTAAGGATATTAGTTTCCTTAAGATTGTCGTTCTAATCCATCTATATGTTACTAATAAATAAATGCATGAAGTGCCTGAAGATGATCACGTGAGCGCCAATTTTCTTCCATTTGCATATCGATTGTAAACTGAATAGTTTTAATGATATTAGGTAGTTGGAGGCAATCGGCCACAGAAAGCCTTGAACCTAGGTTTCGTGCTAGTTGACACTCACTAGTCAGCAAGGCGTATCTGCAGCCTTGAAGGAACTCATGTCCCTCCTTCTGAGATTCAAACCCGCGTCACCCAGTGCCGCCCGTAGTCGGAGACGCTACCACTAAACTATTCAGGCTCGCGATTGACCTCCTGTAGGACTGTAGTGGGTATTTTGATTGGACACTAGTAACTAGTGCGACGTGTCTAGTCCTTTCTTTGGTGCAGGCTGAATTCTATTAGTCAGTCAGGTTTACAATGTCGTCACCATTCTAGGTAGCTCGCCATCATGGTGCACACTGATTTGATGATATTAGATTGCAGTTACGTCTTGCTGATGAGTACCAACTAGCACGAAACCTAGGTCAAGCAAGGCTTCCTGTCGATTGCCTCCAACCAAATCAATGTGCACCGTGATGGCGAGCTACCTAGAATGGTGGCCACATTGCAAACCTGACTGATTGATAGAATTCAGTCTGCACCAAAGAAAGGACTAGGCACACGTCATACTAGTTACTGGCTAGTATCCAATCAAAAACTGAATAGTTTTTCATGAGGGATATTTATCTAAACGTCGTTATTTCATTTTATTTTTTCCACCGTAGTTACGGAGGCGATGGCACTGAAACAAATTGAAATGGATGAAAAGTATGGTGACTTAGAAAAACGTCGAAAAGAAGACGAAGAAGCTGCAACAAAAAAGTAAGTGTTTGGAAATAATTCTTCATCTGAAAAGTTAATATTAACATGATAAGAGTACTGCAGAATCAAATTTTCAATGTGTTGAATCTTTTTTCTTTTGCACCGCCGTATTGTTTATCTTCGCCGTGAGAGAAGAAACACAATAGCTTTACGGTTTCCACACATCTAAGTTGATATATTTCCTATAACAACCTTAAAAGTGCGTTGGTGGTACAGTGGTAAAATACTCGTCAACCAACCACGCATGTGGTTTGGGGTTCGATCCCCGGCCACCAACCCAATCCTTCACCTCGGTAAGCCAGTAATAAGACTGGTGAAGAGGGAAGGTCGGGCATGAGGCTAGCCACGCCATCCTGTAAAAATAATCGCCACTGCTACTGAAACTTCAAGCCTCGAGCTTGAACCCCCTATGTTACACTGGGAACGTAAATGAATAAATAAAACAATCTTAAAATGCAAAATTTATGGTCATAGTTTTTTTTGAAATTAGAGCTTTGCTATAGGAAATAACATCCCTTTAGATTATGATGGTAAAATAGGCGCATGGGGATCTTAAAGGGGTTTTAGATAGGCAGATATTTTTAGCACCCTGTCGTGCATTTAAAAGTCATTCTGTATGGCTATGACTTAACTTGTGGTAAGAACAAGTGGTTGGAGACAATGGGTGATATGGCTCAAAATCGTTCTCAATGGCACAGCTGCATTCACTCGTTGTAATTCATAATACCCAATATAAATGCCAATGCATGCAAAGTAATCCACAATGGGAAACTTACGGAAGCTTTCGAAGTGAGGACGGGAGTGAGGCAAGGCTGTCTATTATCACCAATGATCTTCCTGATTGCAGTAGATTGGATAACGCGACAAACAACAGGCAATGAGGAAACAGGCATAAAATGGACTCACACAAAAAAACTTGGAGGATCTGGACTTCGCCGATGACACATTTATGTCTGACTTCCCACAAACTGGAGGATATGCAAGTGAAGAGCAACAAGTTGCCACAAGAAACATCAAAGATAGCACTTCAAGTGAACACAGAGAAAACAGGGGTGATGAAGATTCCTGACCAATGCCAACAGCAGCAACAACAACAGACAACAATCAGCCAGCATAAATGGGAGGAACCTGAAAGAAACAACCTCCTTCACCTACCTGGGAAGCATCGTTTCAACTACAGACGGAACTAACGAGGATATCAAAGCCAGAACAAGACAAGCTTTATTACTCTCAAATCTGTGTGGAGGTCAACAGTACTACTCAGCATCAAAAATAGGATCCGAATTTTCAACTCCAATGTGAAGTCAGTGCTACTATATGGATCAGAGACTTGGCGCGTCATAAAGAGCATCTCAAACAAACTTCAGACCTTCATTAACAGTTCAGATGGCCAGAAAAGATCAGCAACAGGGATCTCTGAGAGCGAACCAACCAGGAACCGATTATGAAACAAATAGACAGGGAGAAATGGAGTTGGATTGGCTGGCCATACGCTGAGGAAACCATCAAGTGACATCACTAGACGAGCCATTGGTCGAGTGGAACCTGAAAGGGAAGCGGCGAGTTGGTCGTCCAAGGGTGGGGTGACTTGGAGGAGGTGATGTGAGGAGGAGATGAAAGCATGTGGACAGACCTGGAGCGGAGTGAAAAAGTTGTCAGAAAACAGAAGGCAATGGAGACGCGCAGCTGAAGCCATATGTTCCTCTAGGAATTAAAGGATACAATAATAATAATAAAAATTCTATTGTTTTTCCGTATTACTACTCTTTTTCCATCACTCACACTTCTGTTGGTTATCTACCTCTCTTTTGATGAGTCTCGTTTCACTCTCTTCTCTTGGTTTGTGTGCTACGTGGAGGGAGTGTGGCATCTGAAACTGCTATATATCTGTGGAAGTTCTATGTTGGAACCAGGCAGAGTCAGTCAACCTGGCTAATTTATTTCTTATGCGAACAAAATGTTATACATTAATAATCTGACTTCACTTCCCTCAGTTGTAAGTCAACCAAAAGATTCAACAACGAAAGAAGACAAAACCAACATCATCATCTACAGAATAAATTGTAACGACTACGCAAAATGCTATATTAGCCAAAGTGGACACTCTCTTCGCCTTTTGTATCAATGATCATAAACTAGTTGTCAAAAGGCATGATTTCCACTCTCTCGCTTATATCACTGTATACAACCACGGACATCAATTCAACTGGGACAACGTTCAAATACTAGACAGGGGAAACACCAAGAACACCAGAGCATTTTTAGAAGCCTGGTATTCCAATCAATCAGCAATTAACGGTAAAAACCAATAGTTGGAAACAATTCGTGACATGGCTCAAAATCGTTTTCAGTGATGGCTAGCTCATATGCATCCACTCCTTGTGTCTTATGATTTCCAATGAAACTATATTGTTCTTCGTTATTACTTTTCCTTTGTCTCACACCTCTGTTTACTGTCCCTATTATGCATTTCTACTTTCTTTTGTTGCTTTGTGTGCTACATGAGAGGGGGGAGTTTGGCGACTTGAACTGGCGCACAAATGTGCAAAGTTCTATGTCGAAAACAGACAGACAGAATTAACAGGTACATTGATGTAGATAAAATTTACCAATCCATAAGAGGAAAATTTCATGTATAAAAGGTCAAACTTCAGGTCAAGGAAACAATCAGTACTAATACTACAAGTAGAATAAGGTGTATAAAAACAGACAAAAGCAACCAATCACGACGTTCAAAGTCAGGTCACCAGGAGAGATGACTAACAAACTAACTCGTGGAGAAATCTAAAAGCTCACCTCAATTCAAATTGAAGTATGCGCTCTAAAGATATTGTCTAGTAGGGCAATGAAAGCTTCGTGAATAAATCATTCATCTAGCTTAGAGAACACAACTATATATCAAAATCATCCGCCTGAGCTACAAATTTTCTCCATTGTTATATCTAAAATTATATTTGTAGCTACCTTCAGCTACAATAGTCATCTGTTCGTGTAGGTCATTATTCATGTGTACAGAAATGGTAACCACTGTTTTAATTTTAATGTTTTAATATTTTTTTCCTTACATTTAAGGACTCAAGAATCAAAATCCGCTATAGGATTTGTATATGAGGACAGTACTTGTCCCCCACAGATTTCTATGTCGCATACTACACCTGCACTTGAAGATGACAGTGGTTCAGAAGATGAAGCTGACAGTGATATGGATATTGGTAGGTATATGTGTACTGCTCACTCTTAGAATTACGATACATGTGTGTGTGTGTGTGTGTATGGAGGTATAGATAACTTTCTTTCAGCCTATGATACCAGTTTTATTAATTTTATTACTACACTGTCCAGTGTTGAATTAATGCCTTATTACCACAAGTCACATTATAAGTGTTTAATTAGGTCGGCGTTTGCTTCAATTTTTATAATAGGCTAACGCTATATGTATATAGCTTTATATCTCAACCTTATTTCGTTTGATAAGGTTTACAACTGCATTTTGCAGAAAATTTTCTTTATCGACGAAATCATCTTCAGAGAGACTGTCCAGTCGTATTTATATTGACCAAAAATGTATATTAGTCTACTATTGAGTAACAGAGTGTGTGTGTGTGCGTGTGTGTGTGTGTGACATAACTGACATAATTACTCAAAAGTGGCTTCAAGGTGATACCGCAGCTGAGATTCTGAAGAACCACTGCTTATCCATATCATCACTGAGAAAAGCCGTCTTTTCATCTGGGCTACGGATCAATTTCTACAGCCAACAAATGATCAATGGATGTGTGAAGGATAAACTGCCGCTTTGGACGGACCACTTCAATGTGTGTTTATAAATTCACCTACTACGGGGGAGCTAGTTATATCGGCCACACAAACTGGCCGTACACTTTCCAAACTCATCTCTGAAAATTATCCGGAATGGTTAGCAAAAGGACAATGCAGGACAGTGACTAGCTCAATTCTCGAGTACTAGGTGAAGTTAAGCCACAAAGCTCCACCACAGTCATCTTTCAAGATCATCTACAAAAGTGAGGCGGAATGGTACAAAGGGAATCAGGTTTCTTTTTTTTCTTTCTTTCTTTTGATTTACAACTTGATTCCACACTGCATTTTTGGTACAAGTATGGAATTTTCAGCATGGATATCGGTAGCCCAAATTTTGCAGGCCGACCATAGATATCGAGTGTGCGCCGGCGTGGGCTCGAACCCCGGACCATGTGCATGGTCGGCGAGAGTCCTAACCACTGTGCCATCGACGCACATTTGTGCATTTGTGTATGGCGGAGGTGTTAGCAATTCGTCAATACAACCGCAAACTATGTATACAGAAAAAGTTTGTCCAATCTCTTATTCTACCAGGGTCTTAACCTCTTCATTAGTCCTTACCTGTAAGTTTTTTCATCTGTATTTTTAATGATTAGTTTGCTTTTACTTTAATAATCAATAATCACATGTTCCCTTTGTACATTTGCTCACACGCCTCACACTTGTTAAATGGACACTCAATTACCTTTCTTCTCACTACTCAATAACAATTTTAACCTTATCATATTTCTAGCCCTTTTTTTTCCTCTGTGCAGTTGAGTACTACGTAATTTACAATTTTTATTTTTTTTACTTCTAAAGCCACTGTCTGTCTGTCTGTTTTCGACATAGAACTTTGCACATATGTGCACCAGTTCAAGTCGCCACACTCCCTCCTTGTAGCACACAAAGCAACAGAAGAAAGTACAAGAAAAGCATAATAGAGACAGTAAACACAGAGGTGTGAGACAAAGGAAGAATAATAACGAAGAACAAGATCATAAGTCACAAGGAGTGGATGAATCTGCACTAGCCACTGAGAACGATTTTGAGCCATGTCACCAATTGTTTCTAACCATTGATTTTTGCCGTCCCGAAGACCCTGACCAGTCAGGAAGCCAGTCTACACCTTCCTACGTGGCTTAGACTAACTGTTGTAGATTTCATTGACTGGTGAAGCCATGTTTTAGTTTGACCACCGCTAGCTTTTTTCCAGCCTGACCCCATATACGCTAGCATTGCTCGTCGGGGAAGGCGATGACTAGGCATTGATACGTAACACATGTCCTAACCATCTCAGTCTTTGTAACTTCACGACTTCGTCGATTGATTTCCCCTGTTTACCTAGAACTCGACGCCTAACCTCAATATTGCTCACCTTATTATACCACTTCACACTGGAGATAGAACGCAGGCACCTATGATCAAAGACAACTAATCTTTCCATGTCTTCCACTCTCAGTGACCAGGTCTCACAACCATAAAGGAGGACGGAGCGGACTGATGATCTCGTCTACGCCATAGACGGCGTAAACTGGCATATGCGAAACGAGCCCCTTGTATTCGTGCTGAGATCTCGTCAGGGATCAATCCGTTGGGACTGGCGGGTACAAATTCCCAAATAAGTGAAGTGGTCAACGTGCTCTACCACTTCAGTCCCTATTTCTAATCTAGGTGTCGGTGTGGTCCAGTCCTGTAACATCATCTTGCATTTGGCGGGAGCGAATCGCATGCCAAACATTCGTAGATTGCATCTCTAAAGCCACTACTGAGTAATTATACTAATTACGTCATCCCCACTCCTATTACTCACTAATAGACTACTATACATTTTTGGTAAATATAAATACGACTGGACAGTACAGCCTCTCTGAAGATGATTTCATCGATAAAGAAAATTTTTTCCACTGTATTCTCTTGCTTTTCAACTAGCATGTGAAGTAATCAAATTTGATAAGTTATAGTCATCAAAAATGTCCAATACATGTACATAGATATTTACGCTAGTTAGATTTCTAAGTATTACTATTTCTTATCGCGACAGCTCACGAGAAAAGAAAATATCACTAGTAGTGTAACGACAGAAGACAAGGGCCAGGGAACAGATCGTTTATTGAGGAAATCAACAGATATTTATAGATTTTTATGTACATTATTGTCAACGCAGAAGCAACGTCTTCTGATTGGTTGTTTTTTTTGCCGAAAGTTATTCTGTGCTGCCTGTGACCGTTTCTTAGAAAGTTAGGCCATATATCTGCGAATCGTATATGAACGGGTCACGTCTGCTGTGATTGGTTGTTGAGTTCCTCAAGGTTAGGCTTTGTTGCATGTAGGATTTCATCGTAAGCTGACATCAGTTAGAGAACCACTGGAAAACCTACAGGGAGTACTGGACAGCTGTTTTGTCAGCCTAGTTTGGTACTCTTCTACTCGCCTTGTAACCAGAAGGTCCTGGGTTCGAACCCCAGTGGAGGGTGCTTACTGATGAAGAGTCTCAAACTAGGACGAAACACTGCCCAGTACTCCCTGTAGGTTTTCCAGTGGTTCTCTAACTGATGTCAGCTCATGATGAAATCCTCCATACAATCAAACACAAAATCTCTACAAAACCAGTACTTGAAAGTTAAGCTTTGTAATTGTTTCTTTCGCATGACCCCGATTCGGGACGTAAACATTGACGTAAATTGTTGTCTACAAGTTTGGCTTGCAGACAGGTGTCACCACAGTAGAACTATTAACCATAACATAATTAAAAAAGGAATTAAGACGTCTACAATATTACTATATAAGGAAGTAACAACTGAAATCGCATGTAGGAATAAGGGCAGCAGCAGGATATCAAAGCCAGAATCGGAAAAGCAAGACAGGCTTTCACTACCCTTAAGTCTGTGTGGAGGTTAACAGCACTACTCATCATCAGAAATAAGATCCGGATTTTCAACTCCAATGTAAAGTCAGTGCTACTATACTGATCAGAGACTTGGCGCGTCATAAAGAACATCTCAAACAAACTTCAGACCTTCAGTAACAGTTGTCTTCGCTCAATACTCAAGATCAGATGGCCAGAAAAGATCACCAACAGGGATCTGTGGGAGCGAACCAATCAGGAACCGATTGTGAAACAAATAGGCAGGAAGAAATGGAGTTGGATTGGCTGGCCATACTGTGAGGAAACCATCAAGTGACATCACTAGACAAGCCATTGGTCGAGTGGAACCCGAAAGGGAGGCGGCGAGTTGGTCGTCCAAGAGTGGGGTGACTTGGAGGAGGTGATGTGAGGAGGAGATGGAAGCATGTGGTCAGACTTGGAGTGGGGTGAAAAAGTTGTCAGAAAACAGAAGGCAATGGAGACTTGGGCGACTGAAGCCCTATGTTCCTCTAGGAATTAAAGGATACAATAATATAATAATTAAGCCTACAAACTCATTCAGGAACAAGCTTTGTAGGCTTTACGTAAAATAATCTCTTTTTTATAAGCATAAAACTTGGGCCTTGTGGTAGGGTATAAGTCCATTATGGATAAGATTTTATTTTGATAAATCACACGGTAATATTAACTGATGACCACGTTTAGAGCACAAAATATTACTCACAATGATACCAAGTCAATACTCACACAACGTTTTACTTCATTTATATATATGAGTAAAAACTGATGATTAGACATTTTAATGAAATCAATAATATAAGGTAATGTACATTCAGAAATAATAATATGAGTGTTATTGATCAAATACAATCAGATTGGAAATAAGACAAGTGTTTTTATGGTCATAATAAGTAACTTGTTAGAATGTTATAATGTACGTGAATTGAACTGAAATAGAATTTTAAGATTATTTATCCTCCTCTTATTTGACCAACTGGTGGTAATAATATCTTCCATATCTCTGGTATTTGCCGCCTTGAGTCATGTCTATTGAAAACATACCTCACAATAGCTGTGAGATTAACTGCCTTTGTCAAACTAGTAACTAGATCGCGGGTAGTCAGATTATCGGAGCATGGAAATTTCACTAAGTATAAAATGATTGAGCCCATGAAGTTGTGAGTAGTTTAGTAGTGAAGTGATAGAACATGTTGACCACTTCACCTATTTGGCAAGCTGTATCCGCACCAATGGACTGATTGGCGACGAAATCTCAGCACGGATCCAAAGAGCTCGAGCTGCTTTCGCTGACTTACACCATCTCTGGCGTAGGCGTGACATCCGCCTATCAACCAAGGGACGTGTGTACTGCTCATCAGTTCGCTCCGTCCTTCTCTATGACTCTAAAACATGGCCAATACGAGTTGAAGACATGAAAAGGTTGACTGCTTTCGATCATAGATGTCTGCGATTTCTGTCTCACGTTAAGTGGTTTAATAAGGTAAGTAATGTTAACGTTGAGTGTTGGGCAAAGAGGGGAAATCAATCGACGAGGCTATAAAGTTACATAGATTGAGATGGCTAGGTGACGTGGTGCGCATGCCTAATCATCGCCTCCCCCGACGGGCAATACTAGTTGATATAGATGCAGGTTGGAAAAGAGTAAGTGGTGGCCAAACAAAAACATGACCTCATCAATCCATGAAATCCTTGACAGTTAAACTGAGTCGGTCAGGTAGGAAGATGCAGACTTCCGGGTCGGGGCCCTCGGGACTGTAGGAATCAATGGCTGGAGACAATAGGTGACATGGCTGAAAATCGTTGTCAATGGCCAGCGCAGATGTATTCAGTCTCTGTAATCTTTCATATTCCTTTCTACCATTACCCATTCTGTTTCACTCTTATACTTGTCAAACTCTATTGATTCTCTTCACTCGTCTTTTTGTCTACCTCTGTGTGCTATTTGGAATCTGGCGACTCGAACTGGTGCACTTCGGTGACAAGTTCTATGTTGAATCCAGACAGACAGAGTAGTTTAGAGAAAAATTCAACACCCACAGTTCATGCCCGAACACACAATCACACACACACAGAGATAGAAACCTTAAAAGTACAGGCCTCCATACACACAGTACCTAACAATAGGTTACAGTCTCTACTTTCAGCGTTGCAATGGTGCTAAAATCATAGCTGTGTTGCATTATTATTATTATTATTATTATTATTATTATTATTATTATTATTATTATTATTATTGTATCCTTTAGTTCCTAGAGGAACATAGGGCTTCAGCTGCGCACCTCCATTGACTTTGGTTTTCTGACAACTTTTTCACCCTGCTCCAGGTCTGTCCACATGCTTTCATCTCCTCCTCGCATGACCTCCTCCAAGTCACCCTTGGACGACCAACTCGCCGCCTCCCTTTCGGGTTCCACTCGAGGGCTTGTCTAGTGATGTCACTTGATGGTTTCCTCAGCGTATGGCCAATCCATATACTATCCATATTCATATTATAATAAATTGTCTAGAATTTCAATATTCTGATCTTTTACTTTTTTTATTTATTTAAAATTCTTGTTAGATGTTGAATTGGATGCGAGTACACTGACAAGTGAAGCACGTCGTCAACTAGCCAAATCTGCTGCTTTATTCGGTTTGCATCCAACTGATTTTGTACGTCTGTTAAATGCCGATCAACAACTAGAAACTGAGCTACGCTTAGCCAAAGCTTTAGAAGATGAAAAATTACAATTATCTGTAAGTTTTTTGCATTGGCTTTAATTTTCCGCATGAAATTATCCATCAATATATATGGCAAGTGAAAGGAAAACAAATGAGAACAATACAACACGGCACAACACAACACAGCACAACATAAATGGATTCACTATTACCCGTATCATTATTGCTATTATTATTATTATTATTCATTCATTCATTCCTTGAGTTCTTTGTGAGACGTAGGACTTCAACAGCTCATTTCCGCTGCACTTGATTCTCCCCCCGCCCCCACACCTCTCTGTCACCTTCAACAGTCTCCATGACTTGCCACCAGCTTTTATTCCTGTTGAAATATAACGGATAATTTTCTATACGCTTAAAAATGTGTTGATTTAATGTGAGATGGTTGTGTAATGCTTGAGAGAAGTTGCACGTAGTGCAGACAAGTAAGCACACTGTGTTAATTCTTTCTTTAATGTCTTGAAGTAAGTATGAATGAATATGTAGTTCAGCAAAAAGAGAATTATATATCTGGTTACAGGATTTCAGCCATGTTGAGTTGACATCGGTTGGAGAACCATTGGACACCTACCTACCTACCTGACTTTTCGTTAGCCTAGTTTGAAACTCTTCATCAGTACACGCCCACCACTGGAGGTTTGAGCCCAGGACCTTCCGGCTACAAGGCAAGCTCATGAACCACTCAGCTAATGAGAGAAGATCTAATGGCCAGTCGTCCATGAATTCCAACTTCTGCCAATAATTCATGATATAGATCGATTGGCACTATCCAGTGTCATCGGTGGCGAGTATATGTCCTTATACCCGACCTGCTATACTCCACTATGATGCTCACTAGCGGCTGGCCTTGACTGACTGACTGCTTTCAACGTAGAACTTTGCACGGATGTACAGCAGTTCGATTTGCTACACTCCCTCTATGTAGCACACAAAGCAAACGAAGAGAATAAAGAGAGACTCAACAAAATAGAGGTAGATAATAAACAGAAGGGGGAAGCAATTTTATAAGTGAAGTGACTGACTGGTTGCTTGGATTCTAGTGAGAAGTCGTGACCAGTGGGGTTACAGCTAGTCGGTTGTGATGACGAATACTCACCGATGCTATTGGCTAGCTAGTGGTCATGGTATATCATGAATTGTATGGAGGATTTAATCATGAGCAAACTGATGTCAGCTCATGATTAAATCCTCCATACAATCAAACCAAATCCTTACAAAACCAATACTTGAAAATATCATGAATTATTGGCAGAAGTTGGAATTCATGGACAACTGGCCATTGGATTGGGTCCCAGTGGGTGATGAATGTTCTGCAAGCTCAAACCTTCAGTGGTGGGCGTGTGTACTGATAAAGAGTCGTAGACACTAAGCTGACGAAACAGATAGCTAGCTATCCAGTACTCCCTGCAGGTTATCCAGTGGTTCTCTAACCGATGTCAGCTCATCATGACGAAATCCTGTAACCAGTTGAATCAAATCTCCTCAAACCAACACTATATATATATATATATACGTATATATTCTTGGTGATCTGTTTTACCTTTCAAGAAACTTTTACTAACTCTAACATCTGTAATGTAATTATTTAATTTTTTTTAACACCCAATCTTTCGCCCAGTTCATCAATATTTTAAGTTTAAATACTTATAATTCAATGAGTTATAATCGCATAAGGTCATAAATAATTATTATAATTATTATTGCTCCCTTGGGTTCCTAGAGGAACATAGGGCTTCAACTGCACGTCTTCACTTGCTTCTGTCTTTCTTCTTCTCTACTTTTCACCTGCATCCATCTCAGTCCATACTCTTTCAACTCCTCTTCACACGATCTCCTCCATGTCACCCTTGCACTGACGACCCACTCGCCGCCTGCTTCCCTTTCGGCCTGGTTCCACTCGAGTAATGGCCCGGCACGCGATGTCGCCCAGCGGCCTCCTCAGCGAATGTCCATCCAATCCATCTCTACTTTCTCCTGCATATTTGTTGGGCGATTGGTTCTTGTTTTGTTTGTTCTCATAGTTCCCTGTTGGTGATTATTTCCGGCCCGGCCATTTGATCTTCAGTATGGAGCGAAGACAGTTGTTAATAAAGGTCTACAATAGCCTGTTGGAAATATTCTTTGTGATCCGTATAGAAGAAGTGACTGACTTGACGTTGTTTGTATTGAAAATCCGACCGAATTTTGTTGTTGATTCTGGCTGAGTGACGAAGATTTCCAGATTGGTTTCAGGTTGATTGACGAATGTGTTTCTCGCCTTCCCGATTCTCGCTTGATTTGATATCCTCGTCCGTTCCGACTACCTGTAGTTGAGACAATGCTCTCTAGATAAGTGAATGAGGTGACCTCTTTCAAATCCCTCCCGTTGATGGTGATAATAATAATAATAATAACTATTGTGTTTGTTGAAGGCCAACAGTGTTTAGATAAAAAAAACCTTGCAAATCAGTCTACTCGTTAAAGGTAAACTATCGAAACTGTAAAACCTCAACACCCACCTTATCAAGGTACTTTATTTATTTATTTATTTATTCTTTTTCATTCCGCTTTCTCCCTCTATCTGTCTTTCCCTCTCTCCCTCTTTCTCAGTGTGATTTTCATATGAAGCTGCTTTCATGACACTGATGAGTTTAATCTCTCTAGATAAGTATACATGCTTCATCTCTGTTGTACACGTGATTGCCAAACAAGCTACTGAGGTTATCATTATTAGTGTATAACACTACTGCATAATAGTATCAGCTATTTATGCCATTATTAATCTGCCTTGGTTGAGAAAAGAATATGCCTGTCTCTCTGTCTGTTTTTGACATAGAACTTTGCACCGATCTGCAACAGTTCACGTCACCACATTCCTTCCTTGTAGCACACAAATCAAGAGAAGAGAGTAGAACAAATGCATAACATAGGTAGTTAACAGAGGTGTGAGACAAAGGAATAGTAATAAAGAAGAACAATATAGCTTCATTTAAAATCATAAGTCACAAGGAATAGATGTATGTGCTCTATACATTGAGAACAACGATTTTAAGCCATATCACCGATTGTCTCCAACCGTGATTGGTTTTCACTGTCTCGAGGACCCCAACCAGGAAGTCAGTCTACATCTTTCTATGTGGCTGGCTTAAATTAACTGTTGTGGATTTCATTGTGTGGTGAAGTCATGTTTTAGTTTGACCACCGCTAGCTCTTTTCCAGCCTGACCCTATGTCAGCTAACATTGCTCGTCAACGAAGAAGGCGATGACTAGGCATATGTAACACATGTCCTAACTATCTCAATCGATGTAATTTCATCACAGCCTCGTTGATTGATTTCCCGTCCTTACCTAGAACTCGACGCCTAACCTCAATATTGCTCACTCTATTACACCGACCACTTCACACTGGAGATAGAACGCAGGCACCTATGATCAAAGACAACTGATCTTTCCATGTCTTCCACTCTCAATAACCAAGTCTCACAGACTAAACAAAAGTGGTTTCCAAGTCGATATTATTTATGTGCTGGGTTCCTTTTAAATAAACACAACAACAACAACTGAAACTATTTAATAGAGACGGGAAGGAGGACTAGGTTATCTGAAAGCTTTGTCAAAGCTAAAGCATAAAGCAGTTCATCAATTCGTTAACAACTGTTCACCTTAAGCCACCAGGTTAAGATATGTGTGTGTAGGCCTGCGTAAACTGAATATATTATAAGACTTTGCACAGTGTAACTCTACCTCGATCTACGAATGTTTGGCATGCGATTCGCTCCCGCCAAATGTGAGATGATTTAACAGGACTGACTGGACTACACTGACTCCTAGTTTAGAAATAGGGAGTGACGTGGTAGAGCACGTTGACCACTTCACTTATTTGGGAATTTGTATCAGGCAGTCCCAACGGGTTGATCTCTGACGAAATCTCAGCACGGATACAGAGAGATAGTGTCGCATATGCCAGTTTACGCCGTCTATGGCGTAGACGTGATATCCGGCTGGCTATCGACCAAACGGCGTGTGTACTGCTCAACAGTCCGCTCCGTCCTCCTTTATGGCCAGCTGTGAGACCTGGCCATTGAGAGTGCAATATATGAAAAGACAAGCTAGGCGGCTGTCTTTGATCATAGGTGTCTACGTTATCTCCCTTAGGAAGTGGTCGGTGTAATAGAGTGAGCAATATTGAGGTTAGGCGTCGAGTTCTAGGTAAGGACGGGAAATCAATCAACGAGGCTGTGATGAAATTACATCGATTGAGATAGTTAGGACATGTGTCATCGCCTTCTTCGTTGACGGGCAATGTTAGTTGACATAGGGTCAAGCTGGAAAAGAGCTAGCGGTGGTCAAACTAAAACATGACTTCACCACACAATGAAATCCACAACAGTTAATTTAAGCCAGCCACATAGAAAGATGTAGACTGACTTCCTGGTTGGGGTCCTCGAGACAGTGAAAACCAATCACGGTTGGAGACAATCGGTGATATGGCTTAAAATCGTTGTTCTCAATGTATAGAGCACATACATCTATTCCTTGTGACTTATGATTTTAAATGAAGCTATATTGTTCTTCGTTATTACTATTCCTTTGTCTCACACCTCTGTTAACTACCTATGTTATGCATTTGTTCTACTCTCTTCTCTTGATTTGTGTGCTACAAGGAAGGAATGTGGTGACGTGAACTGTTGCAGATCGGTGCAAAGTTCTATGTCAAAAACAGACAGACAGATCTGAGTATATACGTGCATTGAATCTTTGTCATGTAAACTTTTGAATGTTTCTAGTTTCTGTTCAGCTTTGAAGAAGTGTGCAGGATTTGAATTGTTTCAATTTTTATTTGTGAAGTACTAGTTGGGTCTTTTTGTTGTCTAGAAATCCTTTTCTTGAACGTCATGGAGAGAAGTTTATTTTGATAAAGTCTCATGGTGTTGTTATACAGTAAGCAATGTATACTGATGACCGCGTTTCGAGCACAATTTATTCCCGCTCATAATCATTTCAAGGCATTACTCACACACAACTTTGTCATCTCTTGATTTCATCATTCTAGTTTTTCATGACCAGAAATGTATAATCCATATATCGACAGTTGAAATCCAAGTCATTAATTTCTCCTTTCAATGGTCCATTCTCTAACTTAGCGAGGAAAATATCAGCTAGGATTGGACCTAATGGGGAACCCATAGCTGCACCATCAGTTTGCCTGTAATATTCCTTATTGAATAAGAAATGAACGTTCATTGTACATCTTAAAATAAGTTCCTTCAAGGTGGATACAGAAAGGCCGATGTCTATGTTTCGTGTGGTAATCTCCCCACATAAAAAATCCGCTGTCTCTGTTAACAGTACATTGGTGAACAAGGAGGATGCATCAAAAGATATCATAAACTTGTCCCTCACATTAAGATCTCTTATTTTTCCAACAAATTCAAAACTGCCATTTACGCTATGTTTTGCCAACTCATTATGCACAGGTTTCAGAATCTTCACTAACCACTTTCCTGTGGCGTGATATGAGGAATTACACATGTCCAACACTGGTTGAAGTGGCAAACCAATTTTATGCACTTTTGGTAGTCTATATAATCTTGGTGTAACTGTACCAGTAGGCTTTAGAGATTTATATCAACCTTCTATGATGCTGTTTTGTTGTTTAAGTCTTTTTAATGACTCAGTTAGCTGTTTCTCCACTTTTTCTGTTGGATCGACGGAAGATGTGATTTTTTGAAATTTTCGATGATCACTGAGTATTCCATTCATCTTATCTATGTATTGAGTTTTTTCCTCGCTAAGTTAGAGAATGGACCACTGAAAGGAGTAATTGATTTCTTGATTTGATTGGTAGTAGTGCTTTCCATATCTCTGGTATTCGCGTTGAGTCACTTCTATTGCATGTGTTGGATGTAGTAGGTTCAATCAACATAGATTCAGTAATCAACCTCTCTCTGTCTCCACCTACCTAGATTACTTTTTAGAATTTTCACCCTCTCTCACCCTATTGTATGGTGGTTGTGTGTCAATGCATGCAGTCCAATCGCTGAGCTTCTTTCTAAATTACTTATCTTTACAGATGAAGTCAATCAGTCTGCACTTCGCTAAATTCTTAATGTTCTGACAATCTGAATATCCTCGATCTACTAGTTTGAACTATGCAGTTGACTTAACTCATAGTGATTGCAAGGTATTTTGTAAATGATATTATTTTGTCTACTTGTGTCAACCGACAGGGTCCTTTAACGTACAGAGTTTTTCCTGTCTGAGTGAGTTTATAAGTTTGAATGTCACCAGCCTAATTCCTACTTTATTAAGAATCCTACATTGTGTCTCAAATATCCCTTCCTTACATGGTTAAACTACTGTAGATGTCTTATATTCTTTCCTACATATGTTATCATTGTTACTTTCACCATTGTTTTTACTTTGCTTTTGACGCTTTCTGATCTTTCTAATGAATTTTTTAGGATAGTTAGTTATTTAACACCAACCAGCTAATCTTCTATCTGTTTCATTTCATCGTTCAGGTCTTTATTTGACCTACTTAAGGCTATTGCTCGGTTTGTTAGACACTAAGCAACAGACAACGAACGAATGAGATGAATTAAAGAAGTCTAAATATCTATTGGTGGAATGCATTGACTTTTTATAGACGCTAGTGTTCAGTCTGCCTTCTTCCGTTAATTTTTATTTTACAATCTAACGTCATGGCTAATTCTCTTTGTTCATTTTCTGATTCAAATGTGAATTTTATTCCCTCTACTAGTGAGTTTTATATGTGTAAAGAAACCTGTCATCCATATATCTTCACTATACTTTTGATAGTTGGATTCAATGCATTAAGAGGTAATATTTTCCTAGATATCCATAAAGATATCTACTACGGTTGGGGGTACTGGTGATCCCATATCCCATTGCTATGCCTGTTTGTCTATATATTTTGCCCTGTTCATTCAGGTGATGAAAGAAATAATGGAATTATGTATAAACAAAGTTGTGTGTGAATAGTGCCTTGAAATGATTATGAGTGGGAATAAATTGTATTCGAAACCTGGGCATCAGTAAATATTTAATTCAATTTTAGATTTTCCCATCGATTGATTGGATCAAAGTGCTCGATCTCAGGTTGACATATGTCTGTAGGCTTCTTGTGCAGATGCTTCGACGATGTCTGGGCATGTAATTACAAGTTAATTGGTAAATGGTGACTAGCAGCGTTTGAAACTATAGACACTGGGTTAGAGCCTCAGTGATGGGAATATCGTCACTGACTCACTGCGGAATGCAGGCACATTCAGTTGGCGAGTCACAAATTGGACGAAATACGCATCCTGGCTGGATTCCACTGCTAATCACCATCCACCAATTAACTTCTAATCAGTAAATATTGTTTAATGTATAACACACCGTGAGACTTTATCAAAATAAACTTTTCTCCATAATGGAATTATTATACTCTACCACCACAGTGCCCAAGTTCTAATCTTATTACCACTTTTCCCACACAGGAGTTTTATTTCATCGTTTCATTTAAAACAAAGTTTTTTTTCAATGGATGTATATTATGAAGCACTGTGTTTTGCGTTTTCTTTTTAAATTCAGTTGCTTTTTTTTAACATGGATACTAAATATGTTTATTTGCTTTTTCTTTTCTTTTTTGTTTTGATAAACGCATTTTATGGGTTTTCTTTCTTTAATTGGCATGACATAACTCGTTGAATTTTGTTTCCTTCTCACCCTTTTCATATTGTTCAGGGTCGTAAATCTCGACGTTCTAGACGTATACTGAGAGAACGTCGAGCTCAAGAGAAGTTTCCTCGGTTACTGACTACAAAGTGCGTGAGTAAATAACATGCTTGTCTATAGAGATAACTATGCATTATACTACTGTCATTCTGCGTTCTATGTGTCTCTATGCTAACAGGATTGGCCTACTGACTATATATATATATATATATATATATTATATATGCATTATTACCCTGTCAACAACATTCAAGAGATTTACGCTATACTACACATTAGGATGAATTGGAGTTATACATATGTGACGGAATATACACATTGGGTCATAGAAGTTATTAAGAAGACAGTTGCAGCGAAGAAAATTTTCTTTTCGACGAAGTCATCGTCTAGGCTGTACATTCGTGTATTTATATCAAATGGATAGGAAAGTTCCAGAATAATATCCGGTCAAGGGTCAAATTAATAAAAGTTAATAAAAATAAAAATTAGGAATTAGAATGCCATAATAAACAGGAGGACGGATAAAAGTCAAACAAAGTAGCATCATGATAGCTAGGAAGATTGACATTGTGCAATTAGGCGTTAGAAATGTAGAAATAACAAAATAGACAGGATTTTTGGATAAGAAACTAATGTGCTGAATAATTGTTTATGCAATCAGGGATTAAATATGTAGAAATAGTAAAATGACAAAATAAACACGAAGTTCGGGTATGAAAATATGGTCGTGTAAACAGGGATTAAGAAAAACTTAAAATAACAAGAATAAACAGGAAGTTTAGATAAGAAAGGCGATGGGATGGTCATTACTAAAAAATTACCTATTTATGATGGCCATGGCAGGAACAAGGGTTGGACGTATTTCTTTTTGTATACAAAGCGTGGGCTTGAGTTTTTATATAGCTAGCGCTCCAGCTATGCCCAAATGTCTTGATTTCACTCCCTTTGATAGGTTTGATTGAATCTTGTATATTACTCTGAAGGATTTTTCGAAAGGTGCTGAATGTCCTGAATTGACCAGATGTTCTATCACACTGAACTGTATACACGCTTTTGGTCTCCTTTTACTAACCAGGCTGGGTAGTGTTCACGAGCGCGTTTTTCAAGTCGGCGCTTGGTACGGCCAACGTACTCAGCAGCTCCACAAGAGCAAGTAAACTGGTATATGCACGTTGATACGTATATGTGTGTGTCATAACAGCTCATATATCTTTCTCTCTCTCAGCTCGAAGAAGTCAACAGCAGTGATCTTTTTGCATCGTGAAGGTTGTTTCATTTTTCTTCAGAAAAAACAAACAAGCTGATTTTTCCTAGACGGTCAACGTGCGTCGGTAGCACAGTGGTTAAGACTCTCGACGACCATGCACATGGTCCGAGGTTCGATCCCCTGCCGACGAAGCACACCTGATATCTATGGTCGGCCTGCAAAATTTGGGCTACCGATATCCATGCTGAAAATTCCATACTTGTACCAAAAATACAGTGTGGAATCAAGCTGTAATCAAAAATAGAAATAAATCTGCTGATAAATCCACTCTTTTTAAACCTGAAAAGTACAAAAAAACTAATCACCATTTTCAAATAGTAGTTTCTAGGGATTTGATTGATTGGTTACAGGATTTCATCATGAGCCTGGTGGGGGGGGTGTACTCCCAAGTTTTCCAATGGTTCTCTAACCAATGTCAGCTAATGATGTAGTCCTGTAATCACCATATTTAACTAGGCCATTTAAGTGTCTATACAATGTTGAATTTGTTCGAATCATAAATTTTCTTTAGTCTGTGCTGGTGGATAAATGTTGTATACGCATTCAGTATACTAGATGGTCACAGGAAGCCTTGGCTGCACTTAGGTTGGTCTCATGCTAGTTGGCACTCACCAGGTAGTTACCTTGAAGGAACGACTCATTTCCTTTCTAAGATTCGAACTTGCGTCATTCAGTGCCACCTGCAGTCAGAGACGTTTCCACTAGTGAGGTGTTCGGGCTCCCGCTTGACCTCCTGTAGGACTGTATTGGATTTTTTTTGTGATTGGACAGTAGTCAATAACTAGTGTAATCTGTCTAGTCCTATCATTACCTGCTGTACGGATGAAATAGTTTTCTCTTTAACTTAGCATATTGCTTAAACACTGTAATAATACGTAATTACTCAGAAATGCCCCCAAAAATTGTCAATGGATCGCATACGGTTTGCACCCAATCGCGATAGCTGCTATCTTGTTGACATGGTGGTCGGGTTTGCATATCTCAATGACCTAACAAGCTACACTGGCTGAAACTTTTGTCTCTGCAGGTTCTACCATTCCAGGAAGGTTGTTAGGATAGCTGCGGGTTGGCCACCCCTCCGTACACCTCTTGAAATGCTCCCATATGACCAGGCGTCTTACATAGCCTCTCCTGAGGAAGTCCTACTCACTGCCTTCACGTGGCGGAGGTGTTTTCACCGAAGTGAGAGGGCAAAAGCGGATGCCCGGCGCTCTTCACCGGGTTGACTGTCCATTGGATGGCAGTCTAGGGGAGATGGCTAAACCCTGATTCCAAACCTCCAACGACTGACGTATGAAGCTCACCGGCAGACGTATGGACGAAGAGCTTATCGGATGCCCTGGATGTCTGGCCCCATTCAAAAAGGCGTATGAACCGGACTCCGGTCACCGGCTGCCAATGGATAGTAGACTCCCTACTCCACTCCTACTGCCTTGTAGGTCACACTTGGTTGTGTAAAGGCTAGAGCTGCACTGTCAAACAAAAGGCCGAGCGATGCTGGGGACATCACTCGTACCTAATTCCCATGAAACTTCATGAATTCATGTTCATGAAGCCGGCTCATCCTCCCGTAGGAGATAGCCGAAGTAAAGTAAAGTAAGTAATTAGACTAAAGGCAGTTACCGGCATAGTGTAAGATTTTTTTACACTATGCTGGGGGTCTTTGGATAAAGTCGTACTATTGGGGCACAAAGATGTAACAGCAGTAAGGTGTTTCCCTCAGATGACCAGCTTGCCATCTAAGCTGTCTCTCCACTCTGGAGAGAAGGGATTAGAAAAGATAGACCCAAGAATTGTACATCCTGACTTACCCAACAGTGGTAAGTAACCAACTTGGAACCAATCCCAGAAACCAGTTCAAACAGACTGTGCGTGGCGGGCCTCAAGCAGTTGTCCCCTGGGCTCAGCAGTCACTGCTTCAGGTACCCGAAGAATCAACTTCCATAATGAGGGCAGCTGAGAAGTAACAACCACCCACACACTTCCAAAAGCACACGAAGCCGTTCAGTTTGTAAATCGAGTTATAATATGGTTTAAAAATGATATTTTAACGGATAATAATACGATATTTATGGAGAATGCAGGCGTAGGCATACTTCGGATGTTATTTCTCCCCGATAACTACGTCATTTTTCCACTCTTAATTGGCCTTCTGAATCTGGTGGTGGTTTTGTTTTCTTTTGCGACATTCACATGAAGAACGTCATATGGCTACTTTCACCGTACTCTCACTAAATATTGTATACCTTTGTGTATAACATGCTCTCTTTGGTACCGCAACTTTATTTGAAAAGTAATGCTCCATTGGTCTGCTATCAGAGTTCTGCAGAATCTCACTATTGCCAATCGAATTTAGGCTGAGGTGTTGACATAACTCCACTCAGCTCAACCGATACAGAAAGTTTCACAACTTAGAGTAATTTTATCATCATTAGACTCTAGCAATTTTATTTGGATTGTAGGCAGCGAATTACGCATTGCCCTAGGTGCTCTATGCAATGGCTTCTGTTATTTGTTTTCCATCCAAATGTCAGGTGTTTTTTCGGGAGAGGGTGGGGGATTTACTCCTAAAAGTTGACCCTTGATCCTATTGTGTAATTGGCATTTGGAGTCAGTTTTCATGCTGAGGCTTATGATGTCAACGACACTCGCGTTTCTTTTGTCTTAAAGGGCTTCTTTTCTTCCTGACATCTTGTATCTATTCCTCTTGGCGTTTTTGAATAAATTTCGGTGCATTGTTTCTTTTCCAATCGGTGACAGCTTCTAAGTGTGGTATCATGGCAACTCTTCTTGACTGATTATTTCGTCATTCTACTATTCGAAGAAGCATTGAGCACTCGTAATGATGAAGAAATATGAATATACAATACAAATCATATAATAATAATAATAATAATAATAATTTCCAAGTCCCCATTTGCGCTGTTGGAAAAAGACAGATTAGGCGAAGAAATATGCATATTCCTTCACTTCAATTAGTTCTTCGTCATCACCATCAGCTGGCTACCTAGCTGACTATCCGACTGACTCTACACTAATATACAGTGGTTTCTTAACATCAAAATTGTTTTCATCAAACAAGTGGTTATTTTACTTAATCAGTTTTAGGTATACGTAGTGGATAGGTTGGCACTACGGTAAAATGCTCGTCAACCACGTCTCACATGGTCCGGAGTTCGATCCCCGCGCATTAACGCACTCCTCTACCTCGCTAAGCTAGTAATAAGACTTGTAAAGAGTGAAGGTTGGTCATGAGGCTAGCGATTCCATACCGTAAACATAAACACCACTGCTACCGAAATTTCCAAGCTCTAGCTTGAAGCTCCATGTGCCAATGGGAACGTAAAGGAATAAGATAAGATAAGGTGGGTGGGGCGGAGTGAAATGAAGAGGTGACAAGTCATCAAAACAATTTACTAATAGGTGTTAGCAGCAGGATATCTAAGTTTTGAAGGAGAGGGGAATTCAAGATCAGTTAATTCGTAGGGGTTAGCAACAAGTTATTACTTAATCAGGAAATTTGTAAAATAGCCATGATGACTAAGGAGAGTAGGATGACTGAGGCGTGAAATACAGACAAGTTAACTGAATTAGCAAGAATTGTAATCGTAATAAAATAGCAAAGTCAAGAGATAGTTACCAGGGGGTGGGGTGGGGGGATAAATCATTTTCAAAATTGTGATACATATTTTTTCAATAACCTAATAATTGCCCTTGTAGCATTAAGAACACAATATTCAACGAAGAGACTCTTTACGACAACGAATTTATTATCAAGCTGTACAATCGTATGTATATATGGCTCCTTTTTAAGAAATTATATCCGGTGAGGGAATTAGATCAAAGGTGTGAATACATGAAATAATGATAGTATGAAATGCAATTAAAATATTTGTGATTATAATCGTAGTTAAATGTCAAGTAGCAAAACAATTAGTGTCATATATACAATAATACATAAGGAGTATATAGACGTTTGGAAGGGGTACATAATTATAGGATTAGTAGACAAATATAAAATGTTACATAACATGGTGTAAAATAGGATAAGAAAGAACTCAATATTGTAAAAAAAAATAATAATTTTGGATTTAGAATTACAAGTGGAAACAATTCAGATTGAGAATAGTAGTAACAAGAATAGTCGTAGTAATAAGGCAAAGGTATATAGAATAACTAAATAAACAAAATAAATAAATAAGTGTCTATCCCTCTACGGCCAAGGCAGAAGTAGGGATTGTACATACTTCTTTTGTACACAAAGGTCTATTTGACTTAAGGTCATGATTTGCCAAGACCTCCTTTGTCCTTAGAAGTCTATAACGAAGAAAACGCGGCAAGTTAGCATGGTTTCGATAGACGGTGATTTTAAAATCATGGTCAGGGTTGACGGAGTGACAGGAGTCGATCAGGTGTTCCAGAATAGAACTCCGCCCACACTTTCTTTCTCCCTTGTAAAATCCTACTGCTGGAATATGTTCTCGTATCCATCTGTGGAAAGCGTCCTCTGGCTACGGCCAATATACGTACCTTGCTGGCAAAGAGAGGAGTTGTGTACAAATTTCTTTTGAACACATAGATTTGGCTTGTTCAGTTGAATTCGATTGCCTCTTGCTGTATATATACGTAGAAGTCGTACTCGTAGACCATGTGAGGGGTTAGAGGAAATACGATTAGTATCTACAAGATGAGCTAGTATTGAGCTGCGTATAGCAGATTTATTCGAACCTTTGTCAAACCAAACCCTTTCCTTGAAAACTTAGATATCTTGTTACTAACATCTATTAGTTAATTACTTTGATGACTTGTCACCGCTTAATTTCACCCCACCCACCACCTATACCTAAAAGTGATTAACTAAGATAACCACTTGTTCGGTAAAAACAATTTTAATGAAAATGAACACTGTATATTAGTGTAGAGTCAGTCAGCCAGCCAGCTGATGGGGATTATGGCGAGGAACTAACTGAAGTGAAGGAATGTGCATATTTCTTCGTTCAGTCTGCTGTTTTATCAAATTAATTTTACGTCTTCTGGTTTTTGTTGCTTTATGTCTAACACACTATGATGGTTTACCTTCCATCATTTAGAGGTATTTATTGCATATGAAAGGAAGATTGGATTAAGTGTAACCCAGATTTTAATCAATTTTCTTTCTAATATACTCTAAGTGTAATGCGAGTCACTCACCCAGTACACATCGTTATGACAGTCAGTATGATATGATGTAATATTTAATGACTCATGATACTGCTACATTCCTCTCAAGTTGGATGGTGACTAGCAGTGAAACCCAGGATAACGCGCTTTTTTTTCCTTCACGTTCCCAGGGCTACAAGCTAGAGGCTTGAAGTTTCTGTAGCAGTGTTAATTTTTGCAGGATGGGGTTGCTGGCCTCATGCCCAATCTTTCCGCTTTACCAGTCTCACTACTGGCTTAGCGTCGGCCGGGGATCGGACCCCGGGCCATGTGCATGTTTGGCGAGCGTCCTAACCGCTATGCCATCGACGCGCATTTCACCCTCCTACATGTGGACTAATCGTCAGCCAGTGGATGTACCTGTACTCCTCAGTGAAGGGGTGATGGTGTTGCCTTCCTCCCCCCTCCGTTTCCCTGAGGCTAGAACCCAGTATCCATAGAGTTGCAAACACCAAACAAAGCGTTATCAACTAGACCATCTGAACCACGAGAGCTACCTCTTGTGACGTAATGCAGGTACATCCACCAAATTATTTTAAGTTAAATTCCTCAGACATATCATCGAAGCAGCAGCACAAGAAGGCGCCGACATGTCAACCTAAGGCTGAGCATTTCTATCCAATCAATCAACGGAGAAGTCCAAATTGAATTAAACCTTAACAATTACTTAACTTCTGTTGTGAGTAATCATATCGATTTTTTTTTTGTTTTTTTTTGGAAATAATTTTCACTATATGACGTTGATATTCTATTGTGACTGACTACTTTTCACTTTTTGGTTTCATTTTGTTCTGATTCTTACTCTTTTTGTGTGTGTTTATTTTCTTTCTTGTGGATTGAAAATAGGATTGGTCTTTTGAACGGTCAACCAATATCAAGGTGGGTATTTTTATTTTTGTTGCTGTTGTTGTTGCTGATATTGGTAATACTAAGCATAATAATTAATATTTTTATTATTCCCTTGGGTTCCGAGGGGTTCCAACTCGTCGCTTCCCAACCGGATCCCACTCAACCGACGGTCTGCATTGAGCGCCATATCATTCGACCGTCTCCTCAGTTTCGTATGCCCAATCCATCTCCAGTTTCTTCTACGTATTTATTGAGTGGTCGACTCTTGGTTGGTTTGTTGCCGCTAATTCTTTCTGGTGAAAAGCAAGTGAAAAGTAACAAGTTGGCAGAAGAAGCATCAAAGATAGGACCTCCTTCGGGCGAACATAGAGAAAACAGAGGTGATGGAGATTCCTGGTCAACTCCAACGGCAACAACAACAGATAACAATCAGCATAAATGGGAGGAACCTGAAAGAAACAACCTCCTTTTTCTACATGCGAAGCATCGTTTCAACTACAGGCGGAACTGACGAGGATGTCAAAGCCAGAATCGGAAAAGCAAGACAGGCTTTCATTACCCTTAAGTCTGTGTGGAGGTCAACATCACTCATCGTCAAAAATAAGATCCGGATTTTCAACTCCAATGTAAAGTCAGTGCTACTATATGGATCAGACACTTTCACCGCGCATCATAAAGAGTATCTCAAACAAACTACAGACCTTCATCAACAGTTGTCTTCGCTCTATACTCAAGATGAGATGGCTGGCCAGAAAACATCACCAACAGAGATCTCTGGCAATCAGTGAACCAACCAGGAACCGATTGTGAAACAAATAGGCTGGAAGAAATGGAGATGGATTGACTGACCATACTCTGAGGAAACCATCTAGTGAGTGACATCACTAGACAAGTCATTGCTCGAGTGGAACCCGAAATGGAAGCGGCGAGTTGGTCGTCCAAGGGTGGGGTGACTTGGAGGAAGTGTTGTGTAGAGGAGATGAAAGCATGTGGGCAGACTTGGAGTGGGGTGAAAAAGTTGTCAGAAAACAGAAGGCAATGGAGATGCGCGGCTGAAGCCCTATGTTCCTCTAGGAGTAATACTAATAATTCTTTCTGGCCATTTGATTTTCAGTATGGAGCTAGCCAGTGAAGGGGGTAGCTACTGATAAAAGTCCGCAATATGTTAATAAGTTTCATCTTATACACTGTACATAATCCTTGGGGTATTTAAGCCTAAAAGGTAGCTAAACTATTCGTAAAAACTTATATGTAGAGAAAGAGTCAAAGGCGCCCGGGACTGTCTGCTTAATCATCTGTTTAAGTGTAGTATTCTTGGAACAGTCAGTCGATAGATCTTCGCTCATCTCAAAGACAGATCCCCATTCATAATGGCATTTTTCCTGGACTTTAGCCACTATTATTCCGATTACTGTCGTGTAGCTCTTCACGTATTTCATGTTGATGCTGATAATTATACTAGAAAGACGTACTGGGATCGGTGCTCTCAAGTATTTCAAACTCCACCTTGTCCCTACCATCGAGGTAGTAAGAAGCATTTTGTGTGGTGTGGGGGGAGTGGTTTTGGGAATTCCCGCTGACTGTGCATCCTAAATCAGTGGTGGCAGAATGATATGGCACTACGATGGCAGTGCTATGTGATATCAGCTCACATACATCTTTGTGCCTCCGGTACTAGTCCACTTGTCTAACCAAACAAATGGTTGGGAGTTGGACCCCCGGGCGACGCGCTCATTTTTACATCACTTCGTCGGTTGTAAGGCTGGTAAAGAGGGAAATTAGTGCATCATCCCGTTAAACGAAACATCACTACTACTGAAATTTAAAAGCTCTAGCTTCAAGCTTCCCTATTTTCCCTGGGAATGTAAAAGAATAAAATAATGAAATAAATAAAAAGACACTAATTTTTATGAGAAGTAATAAAACTACTAACCAAATGTATAATTAAAAGCATGTGTTGCTTCCAAGTGTCACATGTCGAAACAAATTAGCGATCGATAATTATATTCACTATACTAAAGTGTCTTTAAGAACCATTAAAGCATTTTGGTGAAATACCCCATGCAGCTTAAAATTAAATTGAAGAACATCATCATCTGCACAGATAATCCTGATTTAAACAGTCTAACTACTATTTGATGGTGTTTTTATAAAGTTCATAAAAACCATCATTTTGCTTAACAAATTGAATTTGTGAGTCAACATGTGGACAGATAACTGACTGACTGGTTTCAACATAGAACTTTGCACTCTGTCTGTCTGGATTCAACATAGAACTTGTCACCGAAGTGCACCAGTTCCAGTTGCCACCTTCCAAATAGCACACAGAGGTAGACAAGAAGATGAGTGAAGAGAATCAAGAGTTTGACAAGTATAAGAGTGAAACAGAATGGGTAATGGTAGAAAGGAATATGAAAGATTACAGAGACTGAATACATCTGCACTGGCCATTGACAACGATTTTGAGCCATGTCACCTATTGTCTCCAGCCATTGATTCCTAGAGTCCCGAGGGCCCCAGCACGGAAGTCTGCATCTCCCTACCTGACCGACTCAGTTTCACTGTCAAGGACTTTGCACAAATGTACAGCAGTTCAACTTGCCACTTTCCCTTCACACAGCACACAAAACAAGAGAAGAGAGTGAAGAGAGAGATCCGAAACACAAGTGTGGGTGAAGGAGAAATAATAGTAATATTGAAGAACAATAGATTGTTATTGGATGTGACAAGTCACCACCTAAAGTGAATCCATCTGCGCCAGTCATTGAGAACGAAGATTTTGAGCCATATCACCAATTGTATATCTCCAGCCTTCATTGATTCTCACCATCCTGAAGATACCAACCAAGAAGCCAGTCTACATCTCCCTTTGTGGCTGGCTTAAACTAACTGGTGTAATCAATCTTTTTTATTGAATATTTTCTTTGCTACTTATATGATGTTCATAAGTAGGAATAAAACAGGACGTCATCATCATATTTCTAATACAGATAATTTACTATAAAATATTTTACTTTCAGACGGACTGTCTACCTATCTGCCAGCTCATCAGATTCTGCTGAATATCCATCCGATGTAGAAGAACAAGATTTTTCAGGTATTGTCTACGGTAGTCCCACTTCAAAGGCAGCAACCATCCGTGATCAGAGAGCACGTGCTAAACCAGTACTTTCAAATGCTCGTGGACCTGCTGTCCATATTGGCGGGATGACATCGATAAGTTTATGTCGCAGAAATTATAAACAATCAAGTCATGATAATCAGTCGAAATATCGAGCATCATCCGGGAGGACTTCAAGCAGCAGCAGTAGTGGTGGTGGCGGTGGTGGTGGAAGCCGTCGAAGTCGACGATTTTCTTCCAGTTCATCAAATGTATGTGAACTTCATTTCTTTCTTTTATTACTCTACTCGTTTTTACTCTGTCTCTTAACAGTACCATAAAAACAGTACCTAGATTCATTTGATTTAATTGTACTGTATGATAGTTAGCAGGTAACTATTTGATAAAGTGTGTGTGTGTGGGGGGGGAAACAGAGGTGATTATTCCCCCCACCACCACCACCACCCATTAGCTGAATTGTAATTTACTTTCCTGAGGGGATTTCGCAGTCGTACAATATGTCTCTTTCATATTGTCGTGAGTACTGCTTAGCAATCTCGCCAGGTGATATGCGTTAGTGTATGTGTAAAACTTGGGCACTGTGGTAGTAAGTATTGAAAATCAAAACAAGTGATGATTCAGCGAAGAGACTCTTTTCAACGAATTTATCATCAAGCTGTACAGTCTGTACAACTGTACAGCTGTAAGATTCAATTCCCTCACCGGATATAACTTCTTAAAAACCATATATATATATATATATATATATATATATATATATATATATACGACTGTACAGCTTGATGTTAAATTTGTTGGAAAGAGTCTCTTCGCTGAATCACCACTTGTTTTGATGTTCTATATGTTACAATGGGAATTTTTCATGTAGTAGTAAGTATTCCCATATTAGTTTGTTTATTAGATGCATCACATACAGTGTGAAACGGTATTATTTACTATTTTCGATTGCACACTAGTCAGTAACTAGTTTAATGTGTGTGTCTAGTCCTAACTTCGATGCAGACTGAATTCTGTCAGTCAAGCTTGCAATGTCGCCACCATGCTCTAGGTGGCTCGCCATTACGGTGCACTGTGAAATGTCGGTATTAGGTGGTTAGAGGCAATCGGTCACAGGAAGCCTTGGACCTAGGTTTCGTGCTGGTTGGCACTCACCAGTCAGCAAGGAGTACCTGCAACCTTGAAGGAACTCATGTCCTTTCTGAGATTCGAACCTGCGTCACCCAGTGAGTACTGCAGCCAGCGTCGTTACCACTGCACCGAAGATAGGACTAGACACATAACACTAGTTACTACTGTCTAGTGTGCAATCGAAAATATCCAATACAGCCCTACAGGAGGTCACTCGCGAGCCCATATAGCTCAGTAGTAACGTCTCTGACTGCAGTACTCACTGGATGACGCAGGTTCGAATCTCAGAAGGAGGGGCATGAGTTTCTTGAAGGTTGCAAATACGCTTTGCAGATGAGTGCCAACTAGCACGAAACCTAGGTCCAAGGCTTCCTGTGACCGATTGCCTACCACCGTCTAATACTAGTATTATTACATACTGGATGACAAGGTTTCGAACAAAATTTATTGTGGTTCATAATCATATCGATTATAATCACACGACTTCGGAAATCTTAATTAGTTGACCTGAATAAGATAAGAAATCTAGAGAATAGTTCAGCCATAGATAGCACTCACCACATGCAATTACACACAACCATACAATAGGATGGATGGGATAAGATGACAGTTTTAAAATCTAATGTCACAGGGTGAAGGGAGAGACTGATAACGGAAGCCCTGTTTATCGAATCAACTGAATGAAAACAAGTATAGTAGGAATAATTTAACACCACCTGTCCATCAGGATATCTGGAAAATTCTACTACCCTACGATGACAAATAGGAGAGAACAAAGGGAACTATTTTGATGTGGTTGTGTTCTCTGAGCAGGATAGTTAATTTGCGAGGCTTTCATCGCCCTACTAGGTGACATCTTCAGCGCATACTTCAATTTGAATTGAAGTGAGCTTTTATATTTCTCCACGAAGGGTCAAAGTTCAAGTCAAAGAAAGGATCAGTTCCAATACAAGTCAGTCTAAAAGGTGTGAAAACAAACAAGAATAACCCATCACCTCCAAGGTCACCAGGTGAGATGATTAATAAACTCGTGGAGGAGAAATCTAAAAGCTCACTTCAATTCAAATTGAAGTATGCGCTGAAGATATCACCTAGTAGGGCGATGAAAGCTTCGCAAATTAACTATCCAGCTTAGAGAGAACAACCACATTAAAATCATGAACCTGAGCTGTGCGAATCTTCTCTATCATATCTAAAGAAAACTATAAATCTCAAGTTTCGAAGTTGTGTGATTATAATCGATATAATTATGAACCGCAATAAATTTTGTTCGAAACCTTGTCATCTAGTAAATAATACTGTTTCACTGTATAAAACAAACTAATGTGATATGCATTAGTTTCTAAGTGTTCTCTAAGCTTTCTGTTCATTTTAAAAATTGAGCATGAAATAGGTTAACTGACTTAGCAAGTTACGACCAAAAGCAACATGTTGTAGTCTTAGCAGCTTACAGGAAACCGATCTCTGCATTCTACTGTATAGCTGACAGAACACTTCTTTGAGACACACTTTGAGTCATGAAGCCCACCAAAGACACAGAAAAAAGAGGACTTTTCTTCTATAAATCTCTAGTTCTGTTCAACAATATGATTATCAAACACTAGCAATTACGTCAACAGCTCAACTGATTTGACAAGTACAAAATAAGCACTTACAGTCAAGTAGAATAGTTCTAACAGGGTGGAATTCATAAACTCATCTTCTAAAGACTCACGTACCAACACTTCCTGTGGACAATCAGAGGTCGAGATGATCTTGGCTCACTTGCGTACATTTCATTATCAGTGTACACACATTCACAAAGAGAAGCATTCATATTAGAGACTTAACAGGACTGTAGACAAATAATAGAGATCAAGTCAACACGTAGGATATGTAGATGTCGGAAGATTGATATGCATGCAGTCTTGGAGAAAAACGGATACTAATTAATTATAGAGTTAGTTGATCGTCCAGGAGAAAATTTCCAAACAATCTTACGGTATATATTGACATTAGCATTAGACTAAATTGTTCATTGCTATTGGAGTTCTGGATTTTCAACTCCAGTGTGAAGTCAGTCAGTGCTATTCACTATACGGATCAGGGACTTGGCGCATCATGAAGAGCACCTCAAACAAACTACAGACATTCATCAACAGCTGTCTTCTCTCAATACTCAAGATCAGATGGCCAGAAAAGATCAGAAACAGAGATCTCTGGGAGCGAACCAACCCAGCAGGAACCGACTGTGCAACAAATATGTAGGAAGAAATGGAGGCGGATTGACTGGCCATACTCTGAGAAAACAAACCATCAAGTGACATCACCCGCAATGCAGGCCATCACTCGAGTGGAAGGCGGATGAAAAGTGATGAGTTGGTCGTGAGTTCGAAGGTGACATGAAGGAGGAGGTGGTGTGAGAAGAGGAGATGGAAGCATGTGGGCAGACGTGAAGTCAGGTGAAAACTCTGTCAGAGAAGTGAATGCAGTGGAAACAATAATAATGATAATAATAAATATAAGAATAGAACTTGGGCACTGTGGTAGTAGAGTGTAATTCCATTATGGAGAAAAGTTTATTTTGATAAAGTTTCACAGAACTATACGGTAAGTAATATTTACTAGTGATGAAGCTTCGAGCACAATTTGTTTCCGCTCATAAACATATCAAAGCACTACTCACACATAACTTGGTCATTTCTTGATTTGATTGGTAGTAGTACTGTAACAAGAGAAGACAAGGGCCAGCCAAACAGATCGTTTAGTTAGGAAATCAACAGATATTTATAGATTTTCATTTAATTTATTATAGATTATTGCAACCAAGCAAACACAGTCTTCTGATTGGTAGTTTCCCACTGAAAGTTAATCTTTCATCTCTTTGTGATCGTTTATTGAAGTTCAGATTATCTATCTGCAAATTGTATCCGCCTACGCAAAGTCTTCTGTGATTGGTTGTTGAATCAGTCTTTGTTCTTGTTCTTTTCTTCTCATGACCAATATTGGGGACGTAAACATTGATGTAAATTACTGTCTACCATTTTGTGAAGCAGCTAGCTCTGACCGCAGTACTTTCCATATCCTCTGGTATTCGCGTTGAGTCACTTCTGTTTCATGTGTTGAGTGTAGACTCGATGAACCAGGCAGGATTCAGTAATCGACCTCTTTCTATCTCTACCTACATGTATTACTTTTTAGAATTTTGACTCTGTCTCACCCTATTGTGTGTCAATGCATGCAGTACAACTGCTGAGTTTTTTTTCTAAATTACTTATCTTCGCAAGTGGGATCAATCATTTTACACTTCGCTAAATTCTCATGTTGTGGTGCCAATGTGACAACCCCCGATCTACTGATCTGACTGACCTATTTAGTTGAATTAGCTCACAGTCATCCCAAGGTATTTCGTAAATGATATTATTTTGTCTACTTGTGTCAACCGACAGGGTCATTTAGCCTACAGAGCTTGTCCTACCTGAGTGGCTTTAAGTCTAGTGGCTTGAAGTTTCTGTAGCACTGTTTTTATTTTTACAGGATGGGGTGTTTAACCAGCCTTATACCCAACCTTTCCTATTTACCAGCCTTATTTCTAGCTTAGCGAGGTGAAGGAGTGCGTTGGTGACCGAGGATCGAACCCCAGACCGTGTGCGTAGTCGGCGAGCGTCCTAACCGCTGTACTGCCGACGCAGACAAACAGAAGTTATAACAATGAGATAATCAATATCCTCGATCATATCAGATATCTCTATGGACAGCTAGGAAAATGAAATTGTCTGAGTAACTTGACTTGATAATGAGTGACAATTAATTGTGCTCGAAACGTTATCTATCATTAGTAAATATTACTGGATAACACTGTAAGATTTTATCAAAATAAATATTATCCATAATGGATTGTTCATTGTATGAGATACGTTTTAAATAGAGGGAACCGGTTGTATGAAAGATAAGTTTTAGTCGTGTAGTCCAGCTGTAGTATATAGAAACAAGTAGAATAAATATTAAATAAGTATTCGGGATTATAGTGACAAATTGAACCCTGATATCAGTGGTCGGCGTGCAAAATTTGGGCTACCGATATGACATGCTGAAAGTTGGTAACTTACCACCGTAGGGTAAATGGGAATGTACAATTCTTGGGGTGCATCTTTTCTAACCGCCACACTCCCCAGAGTGGAGAGACAGCATAGCTGGTTGTCTGTTGTAAACACCTAATTGCTGTTACATCTCTATTCCCCAGCAGTACGACTTTGCCCATAGACCCCCCAGTATAGTGTAAAAAAATCCTAGACTATGTCGGTAACTGCCTTTAGTCGGATCACTATCCTAGCAAACTTCTTGACACGATAAGAGCTGTCGAAACATTATTTCCAGCCAGTGTGGTTTGTTGGGTCAATGAGATATACAAGCCCGTTGACCAGGTGGCAGCTATCGGTCGGTTTACTGTCTACTAGTCACAATACAGACAAATATACTAAGCAGAATAGTTTCTTCGATGTTAATCGGCATCTAGGTATTTGTTGATTTAATACAAGTGTTAGAAGTAATGTGCTCCTGTAAATCACTTCGTGTTTTTTTTGTCTCTTTATTAGAGGTCATTTTCGAATCGGGGTTCACGTAGTAGAAATCGTCGTCCTAAACAGCACTCTCGTGTGGAATACATAACTACATTTGGTGATAATGATGACAATTTAGATGATCAAACGGGCAATGGTGGAAATAATCAGTCCAAAACAAATGCACAGACAACATTTGATCGTGGATGTGGATTATTCGGTGCAAATGATAGTAAACCTCCGGGATCTGCTGCATCTGCTGTTGCAGCTTCTGTTGTTTCAAAACTCCTCAGTTCAAAGCAAACCTCTGAAATGCAGATAAAAAGTAGTTCTGATAACACGTCTCGTCAAAGTACAATCAGAAAAAACTCTCGGACTCGGTTAGTTTTACCTGTTATTTTAGATCAACTTTTCACTACGGTTGTACACTAATCTTAGTTTTTCTAAGCTTACATCAGTTAGAGAACCACTGGAAAACCTGGGAGTACTGTATCGCTGTTTCGTCCTCGTTTGGGACTTTTCAGCAGTACGCACCCACCCCCATTTAATCAAACAAAATCCCTACAAAACCAATACTTGAAGATTCCTTACTACTCACTTCTAATTAAGTAGCTTATATGTGCTCCTTAAATTTTCGTTGTCATAATGAATGCAGATAAAAATATCAAATGATGGTTTATAGGGATTTGATTGGTTTCAGGATTTCATCATGAGCTGACATTAGTTAGAGAACCATTGGAAAACCTGGGAGTACTGGACAGCTGTTTCGCCAGCCTAGTTTGGGACTCTTCATCAGTACGCACCCGCCGGGATTCGAATCCAGGACATTCCGGTTACAAGGCGAGCTCGTAGACCATTGAGCCACTGGGACCCGATCCAATGGTCTACGAGCTCGCCTTGTAATCGGTAGGTCCTGGATTCGGATCCCGGTGGGTGCGTACTGATGAAGAGTCCCAAACTAGGCTGGCGAAACAGCTGTCCAGTACTCCCAGGTTTTCCAATGGTTCTCTAACTAATGTCAGCTCATGATGAAATCCTGAAAAATATCAGAGCTCAAAATTCGTCACTATATGTGTTTATCTTCTGATTTTTTTAAATCTTTAGTTCACCTCCGAGATGCAGTGATCGACGGAGAAGACAACTTTCAAAAAGTCGCTACCGTTCAACTTCAAGATCTCGGTCTAGTAGCCGCCGATCCCATAGTTCCCGTGGCAGCAGAAACCGCAGAAGAGATCACAGTCGAAGTCGACGTAGTAACAGTAGCAGAGATTATAGGGGTTGTTATCGGGGATACAGACGTGGTTCAGGCCGATACAGATCAAGACGCAGGTCCTCTTCATCAAGAAAATCATATTCTAGTTCCAGTACTTCAGTAGATAATGAAAAAGCCAATTATAGTCGGTTGGTTTACTGTTTATAGTTTGACTATGACTGTTTCACTAGTTCATTTGCATATATGTGCTTATATTTTAGTGTGCTGCTCCTGATCGGTGCTTGTTTGAAACAATCGATATATACTAACTGTACATTTTATTTTGTCTAATTGTTTTTAATGATTGGAAAAAAAGAGTCACATATGCCCTGGTTTTTGAAGTGGTTAGGTTTCAGTTCACTAACCGCGTAGTGAATCCCTATTTATTAACTTAACTTAATTTCCGCATATAGTTTCAGTTCAGTTCGTCAAACACAAATCAATAATGCACACCTAACAAGTTTATCTACTTTATTTTGGGCACACTGTTGTGAAATGAAATACGGCTGTCTATGATGATTATTATTCCCTTGGGTTCCGAGTAGAACATAGAGCTTCAACCGCACACCACTTTGTTCTATTGTCTACTGTCCTCTCTAGATGGGCCTACGATTGCCCATAGTCTCTCTCCTCCTCCATGTCACCCTCTGGCGCACACTCAACTCGTCGTTTCCCATTGGCGTTCCATCCGAGCAATAGTCTGCATTGAGCGCAATGTCACCCGACTGTCCTCCCGGTGGCGTGTACCCAATCCATCTCCATTTACTCCTACATATTTGTTGAGTGTTAGGTTCTTATTTAGTTCGTTCCCATAGTTACCGCTGTTACCATTTCTTTCTCGTCGATGTGACTTTGAGTATGTAGTGTTACCGAAGGAGGTAGCTCTTGATAAAAGCCTGTAACTTGTTGGAAATCTTTTTTGTGACGCTCAGTGCAAGTTTAGGACCCATGCAAAAGAAGTGACTTGATATTTGTGGTGAAAATCGGGATCTTGTTGTTTATGCTGAAGTGGGTGGAATGCAGAAGGGATTTACTAACTGATTTCAGAGTGATGAAGGCGTATCTTGCTGTTGCCATTTTGTCTTTGACATCTTGACACGTGCTGTGTACCTGAATGTAGTTGAAACGATGCTGTCTTGTGAGATAAGTGAGTGGAGTAATCTGTTTCAAATTTCTCCCGTTGATGATGATTAGTGTCGGTTGTTGTTGTTGTCCCTGTTGGTTTGTCGGTTATCTTCATCACCTTAGTCTTCTCTATGCTCATCTGGCATCCTGTCTTCATTGGTGGCTTCTTCAGTCCGTTTTATGTGACATTAGACGTAAATCATCCGAGAAGTTTAGATGTTCTAGCGTCTCCTTGCCTGTCCGGCGTATTCCAGTGTGATTTCATTCTCCACAGTGTGACGCGTTATCCAGTCCACCATAATCGAAAATTTCATCGCTGATAATAACCTGGCAGCCTTGTCTCACTCCTGTGATCAATCTAAAAGCTTCACTGAGTTTTCTGTTGTGGATCACCTGACCTGTGGCATTGTCATATGTTTGTTGAATAAGATTGATAAAGACATGGACACTGCACCCCCGTGGTGTTGAAATAATTTCTAAATTACTTATCGGTCAACGGTGTAGAAGGCCTCTTCACAAAGGCGCGATAAAATTAATATAGAGGTTTGACTGCTATTCTATATGCACTGGCGGAGGGGTGACGGATGAGATTTCCAACCGTATAATGAAGGCTAGGGTGGCATACATCAACTTGAGCCACCTATGGCGCCGTCGCGACGTTAGCCTGGCTGTCAAAGGTCGGGTATACAATGCTTCGGTGCGGGCTGCGCTGCTCTACGCCTGTGAAACCTGGCCTCTCCGAGCTGAGGATGTGCGGCGACTCTGCGTGTTCGATCACCGCTGTCTCCGCAGGATTGCTTGCGTTCGATGGCATCATCGCGTGAGTAATTCTGAGGTTCGGCGGCGTGTGTTTGAACAAAGTGGAGATCACCATTCATTGAATGTCGTCATCTGGAAACACCGGCTCCGGTGGCTTGGACATGTGCTCCGAATGTCACCCCAGAGGCTTTCGTACAGGTCTCTGTTCGCTAGCCCTGGGACGGGATGGAAAAGGCGGAGAGGTGGTCAGTCCATGACGTGGCGTCGTGGGATGAAGGATTTTTGTGCTAGATTAGCATCAGTTGGTGTGTCACGACTCCCTGGTTGGGGTCCGAGAGATAGCTCAAATCGATGGCTCGAAACGTTATCGGATATGGCCAAGAATCGTAATCAGTGGCGAATGTGTTGTGATTTCCTTCTTCCTTCCCTTCCCGATGATAGCTAACGAACAGTGTTTGAGCTTGTTAAGCATGACTGTTTTCCTTCCAGATGTTCTTTATCCGTTCTCTACTTATATATATTTTTTCTTTTCCTTCCTTCCTTTTTTTTGATCTATGTTGTTTTATTATTATTGTGTGGCGCATCTTTCTTGGTGCCATATTGTACCAAGTTTTTTATGCGTTTAAATAAATAAATACTATATGCACTGTTCGATAATGATCCATAGAGTTGCAAATTGATCAGCATATAATTTGTCTTTCCTTGAATCCGCCCAGTGTATTCCCCCCCCCCCAGGTTGAACTTCTGCCTTCAGTGAATCCTTTATTGAGACAAATGTTTGCTTTGAAATTATCCATCCTAGGTAAACGTTGCTATTTACTTAACACAGAGTCTGTTAGTCTACATTTTAATACAGTCGTTGTTTTATGTGAATGCCATTTCCATGTTTGGTTCTCCAGTCTACACAAAAGCAACATGATACATGTTTGTTATCTTAGTATAGTTGTTTGATATTCATCACAATTGATAAATTCTTTTAAAAAGATTATTCTTTTTTGGTTACAGGATTTTATCATGAGCTGACATTGGTTAGAGAACCATTGGAAAACCAACTGGGAGTATTAGGCGGCTGTTTCGTCCTAGTCTGGGACTCTTCACAGTACGCACCCACCAATAGGGTTTGAGCCCAGCACCTTCTCGTTACAAGGCGAGCTAGTAGACCATTAAGCCACTGGGACCTGATCCAATGGCCAGCTCATGAATTCTAACTTCTGCCATTTCACGATAGGGCGCAACCGCTAGCCAATGTCTTCAGAGGCGAGTATTTTTCCTAGTGGCTTAGTGGTTTACGAGCTCGCCTTGTAAGCAGAAGGTCCTGGGTTCGAACCCCGCTGTGGTGGGTGTGTACTGCTGTGGAAGAGTCCCAAACTAGCCTGACAAAACAGTCGTCCAGTACTCCCGGTTGGTTTTCCAATGGTTCTCTAACTGATGGCAGCTCATGATGAAATCCTCGAAGCAATGAAGAAAAAATCTCTACAAACCAATACTTGAATATTCCTTTTTAGTTTTGTTGTCCACTATTCTAGTGTTTAGTTAAATAAACGTGACACCACTACAGATTATTAAGTCATCATTCAGTTGGCTTTTTATTTCTTCTACTTCTTGTTGCTTTACAACACCTGTGATATTCTTTCGTACATTTTCTTATTTTTTTTAAAAAACAACAACTAGGAATCGTACTCAAAATTCATTAGGTGAAACAGAACAAACAGCTTTAACAAAACAACCTTCACCTCCAATCCGTAAACGATACTATCGACCTGAGTTGGAGTCAGCTGATGAATTAGAATTTTCAGATGAAGATAAAGATGATGATGCTGAGAATAATAATAACAGTAACAATCAGAAGGAATCATCCAAATCTTCAGAAAATATTTCAGGAAGGCGTCAATCAACCTCATGGTAAATTGAAATTGTGTTTGTAATTGTAATTTTTGAGCTTCTTGATGCACATGATTTACGAGTTGATTATAGCATATATTTTTTGATTTGTCTTCCATATGAAATATACAATTTCAAACTTTTTTCCACCCAAGTTTTCCCAGTAGTGGTATTGTTTTTACGTGCTTGAAGCTGTTAGTCTCATATCCAACGTCTACACTACCCGCTTCTCCGTGATTGTTACTCTACTGAACCGGGGTTAAGTGAAGTTAAGCGTCAACGGAATGCGCATATAAGGAAATTATGGATACCTTATAATTCAGATGGCTATTTGCACAGATCTGAGTTGTGCTACTTCTCAGCCCCCCTCCCGCCCCCCTCCACCGGAGCCCCACTTCATATTGTATTTCCTTATCTTCTTTTCATGTCTTCCATGTTTCGTTTTAATACCGGTTCATTTGCTCTCTTTGATATCAAATCTATTTCTCCGCTAACTGATATTATTCTATGCATGCGAACGCCTCTTTAGGTAATTCCATATTAGTTTGTTTATTAGATGTATTACACAGTCAGTGAAAACAGTATTATTACATACTGGATGACAAAGTTTCGAACACAGTTTATTGTGGTTCATAATCATATCGCCAAATATAATCACACGACTTTCTTTGTTCTTTCCTCATCGTTGGCATCTTTGGGGTAGTAGAATTTTCCAAATATCCTGGCGGACAGGTGTTGAGTCATTTCTGTTATACCTATTCTCATTCAGTTGATTCGATAAACAGAGCTTCCGTTATAAATCTCTCCCTCCACCCTGTTGTTATATTAGATTTTAAAACTGTCATCTTATCCCATCCATCCTATTGTATGGTTGTGTGTAATCGCATGTACTGAGTGGTATCTATGGCTGAACTATTCTCTAGATTTCTTATCTTATTCGGGCCAAATAATCTAGATTCTGATAGGTTTTTGTACTGCTGCGCTGCGCTAGACTGACTACATCTGTTCTACTACTTTGACCTGTGTATTTAACCTGACAATCATTCCATCAGGGTACTTGTGTAGCGATAAAAGACAAGAGTTAGGCAACAGATCGTTTATTAAGGAAATCAACACGTATTTATATATATTTCATGTACATTATTGTAGCTTATTCAAGCAGATAAACACAGTCTTCTGATTGGTTGTTTCTTACAGAAAGTTAACCGTGCATCTCTTTGTGACTGTTTCTTGAATGTCAGATCATCTATATGGTAACTGCATCTGCCTACGCCAAGTCTGCTGTGATTGGTTGTTGAATCAGTCTTGTTCATAATTTCTCACCACTAATATTTGCGATATACCCACTGACGTAAAATGCTATCTACCATTTTTGGCTAGCCCGCTCTCACCACACTAGATAAACTAAATTATTTTGTTTAATTGGCTGTTCCAGAGGATCCTGCAACCGAGAAATCTTGTTTCTAGTTGAGTGTGTGGGTAGTTTGAGTGGCAGCCACTTATATTACTGTCTGCTTTGTTAAGAATTCTCTGTAAGGTTTCCGAGGTTCTTTCCTTGTGTGGAATTACCACTGATGATTTAGATTCCTTATTGTTGGTGTTGTCATTATCTTGCGCATGTTTGATATGCATGTCATCATTAATGTTAGTATTATTTTCACTATCACTACTATCGTTATTTATCTTATTTTTAACATTTCCTTACATAGTTTCTGACTAATTTATCAGAGTGATTATTAAGTTTCAAGGCTTCTCTTATATGTATCACTTCCTGTCTTAGATTTTCCTTGGTGCTACTTAGTTTTTGTGAAAATTCCATACTTGTACCAAAAATACAGTGTGGAATCAAGCTGTAATCAAAAAAAAAAAATTATACAAACATTTCACCAATTCCATTTTCACTGACTTAGGGTGGGATGTTCTGTTTGATTGTGTGGGTTTCTCTTTGGGTAGTTGGAGGCAGTTGTGACAGGAAGCCTTCGAACTAAGTTTCGTGATTGTTAGCACTCCACCAGTCAGAAAGGCGTATCTACAGAAAGCTGGGCTTTGAAGGAACTCACGTCTCTTTTGATGAGTGCCAACTAGCACAAAACCTTGGTTCAAGGCTTTCTTTGACCGACTTCCTCCAGCCATCTAATAGCGGCAGGGTGGTCACATTGCAAACGTGATTGACTGATCGAATTCAGTCTGTACCACTAACGAAAAAGAATAGACACATAACACTAGTTACTGACTAGTGTCCTATCAAAAGAATGTCTCTTTATATATACTACTGATAAATCTTGTCAGTAGCGCGCACACACACACACACACACCGCAGGAGTGCTTTGGTAGTCAGTTATCGAGTCTGGACTTTTTGCGTATTTAGCGCTTCGATGAAACGCAATAATCTTAATCAGTAGACAATAAGAGACTATTTCTATTTAGGACTCACAAATTTTCCCATATTTTTTGTTTTCGTTTTACAAAATCATAGTGAATAAAAAATATTTTCTTTTCGCTTTTCAGTTGTTGGACATTGAAACAGTTAACAGAATGATGGATATTGTTGTGCTCCTACTGTGTTATGACTTCAAAGTGTGAAGTAATTAAGACTGCTTAGAGATAGATAGATATGTGTAGTGAAATTACAAAGGTTTCGGTTATTTTACTTCGATTGATTTATATTCAATTGATATAGCTTAATTTGTGGATTTGATTGATTTCATGTAGGGATTCTATTTCATGCTTGAGTGTGTAGCTACGCTGGTGAGTAACTTTTGTTAGATTGACGCATCATAAACAGCACCTTAAACAAACTACAAACTTTCATCAACAACAAACTGTCTTTGCTCAATACTCAAAATCAAATGGCCAGAAAAGATCGCCAACAGGAAGGGATGCCTGGGAGCAAACCAACCAGGAACCAATTGTGCAAACAAATAAGCAGGAAGAAATGGAGGTGGATTGCCAGGCCATACTCTAAGGAAACCAACCATCAAGTGATATCACTAGACAGGCCATCACTCGAGTGGAATCCGAACGGAAAGCGGCGAGCCGGTCGTCAATGCAAAGGTGACTTGGAGGAGGAGGTCATGTGAAGAGGAGATGAAAGCATGTGGGAAGACTTTGGAACCAGGTGAAAACTTTAGCAGAGAACCTAACACAATGGAGATGTTCCTTTGAAGCCGTATGTTCCTATAGGAATTAAAGGAAATAATAATAATAACTTTTGTTAGGTGTTTTATAATGGGCCATGATCATATATATCCTGTTAAGTAGTCAGTATGGTTTACAATAGTGATGAAACTAATATCTCCTTATCCTATGCATCAGACCACACGTACAGCATAAGGAATAATGATATTATCAAGTATTGGTTTGATTGGTCGGAGGATTTCATCATGAGCTGACATCAGTTAGAGAACCATTAGAAGACCTGCGAGTACTGGACAGCTGTTTCGCTAGCCTAGTTTGGGACTCTTCCACGGCAGTACGCACCCACCACAGGGGATTCGAACCCAGGACCTTTTGGTTACAAGGCCAGAGAGTTCGTAGACCATTGAGCCCGTGGCATCTGGTCCGATCCAATGGTCAGGCTATGAATTCTAACTTCTGCCAATAATTCACGACATAGCGCTACCATTTCGCAATGTCTTCTTCTATGAGTTACTGCCTCACCTTCAAACTGTTGCACCCTACTCGTCACGGCTTCCCACTGGAATCCCAGGTTAACTGCCTGAATAGGGCCGGTCGCCTTGTAGTCGGAAGATCCTGGGCACAAACCTCCAGTGGTGGGCATGTACTGATGAAGAGTCACAAACTAGGACGAAAAGCCAGCTGTCCAGTACTGTGTGCAGGTTTTCCAATGGTTCTTTAACTGATGTCAACTCCTGATGAAATCCTTCAACCAATTAAACATGATCCCTACAGAGACGAATACTTGGAAATCATAAGTGTGTTTGTTTTACACTAAAATCAATCGGTCATTATATTGTCATCACTCTATATCCATTAAAAGTATTCATTTGTCATCTGTGCCAGTAGTGAAGTTGTATGTTTTTTGTTTTGTTTTTAAATTCAGGAAATTGGATTCCAGTTCTTATGGTTGTGGTGATTACGCGGGTAAGATGATGACGTCTCAACAGTCAGCAATCACGACTGGTGTTAGTGGTCCTAGTCCCAGTCCCGGTCATGTTTTAAAAGTCAGTTAATTTTCTAACACACTTCTCTGCACCGTCCAACTTTCTGAAATTCTCTAAATTTTGATGATTAGGTTTCATGGAGTCCCCGATATATATATATATATGCTCAATAATATATGTATCAACCGGTTAAATAACTTTTGCCTCGTGTAATGCATGTAGTATGCTTTTGGTCAACTTAAAATAATAATAATGTGTCTTTGTACACTATCATTTAAGAAAGGTAATCTATGGACAAAACTATCATGTTGCTCCTGCCGAGAAAGCTGTCTATATAGGGCGAACAACTAGACAGCTCCTCAACAAAATGTATTAATCAGCATCTTCCCGTATAATTCGGAAAAAGGCCAAATAAAATCTATAAGAAGATCTATTGTGTCTTATTTGATTGTTGCTGATAGCGATCATCAATTAGACGAAAGAAGGTTATCTATCTCATTCCCTTGAACTTTTCGAACGGAATTCGAATCCGCCTTTCACATACAACCGAAGCTGTACAAATTCCAGAGAACCATCCTAGTGTCATTGCATAAAACAAAAGAAGTTTGTTCTTCCTTTATCTTTCCCTTGTTTGCCTAAGTAAAGTCTAATTCAAATAAAAACCCCTCCCACCCTTTCACATTTTCCATTCCCTTCGTACTTTTATGATACTTATAATTTAAACTCTGATTATCTGTCTGTCCACTTCATCCACCTTTAGTATTACGTAACTCTTAAGATTTGACCTGATTTATTTATTTATTTATTGAATTGTCTACATATATACATATCACTCAATACCTTCGTTATTCTGATCGCCCCACCTGCATAAACTTTATTATCATTATTTTGTTATCATTATAATCATCGTTATTAACTACGTTCAAAACATTTAACACATTATTATTATTATTTGATCCACAAAATCACCGTCATTGGTCAAAAATTTTGCATATAAATCTATGTAGATTAAAATAAAGCTTGAAGAAGATCTAATTGAAAACAACAAATATTGTTCCCTTTTATATTTCTTGTTCTCATATGAATAATGGGACTATTTCAACCTAGTCAACTCATTGAGTAGACTCAGCAGACTTTACACTATGAAAGTCTCATTCATGAGAGATTTCATCCGCGGTGGATAAGTTTCAAGTAGATTAAGTTTTTTTTAACAACAATGGCGATTCATCCTAGTTTCGAAATCATCGGTAGTATGCACCTGATATGTATCCACATATATATATTTATGTGTGTGTGTGTGTGTATGTTGGTCTCTCTTTCTGTTTGCTCGCTTAGTCTGTGACCATTTCACTTTGATGAACCTGTCTCCTTTAACAATGTATATTCCCCTTATATTATATATAATATGAGTGTTTGTTGACAGTCCGTTGCTTGGTGACATATATCCATATATGGTGGTTGTTGACATGTCTGCTATATTTCGCTATGTATATATGGATCGATACTTCATTATAATTAGCCATTCATGTTAAGACTGTCTAATGATTTGTTCACACACTTTGTCTGGAACATTTCATATATATATTTCGTTCTCACAATCTTGTGACTACACTTACTCACTTTGGTGTGATACCACATATTTGATTCTCCTTGTGTTTGGAAAATAGAAGTATCATCGCAAACCTAGTGGTCTTCTGATTTCCGCCTTCTTGCGTCAGGACTATTAAATTCTCGACCAGTACATAACAGCACCCACCACAGGCGGGTTCGAACCCAGGACCTTCCGGTTACAAGGCAAACTCGTAAAAACATAACTAACCCTTACAAACCAAACTATAGAAAATTAATCTGTTGCTATCTAGTAAGTGACTTGCTACAGGATGGAGTTTCCTGCAGTGAGTTCTAGTGAGAAGTTGTAACCAATGAGGTCCATCCAGAGGAGACGTGTAAGGATGGATGTCACACCAACGACATTGGTTAGGGTCGCGCTAAATTACGAATTGGTAGGAGTTAAAATTTAAAGACTGGCCATTGAATAGGGCCCCAGTGGCTGAATGGTTTACGAACTTGTCTTATAACCAAAAGGTCCTGGGTTCGGACCCGCCTGTGGTGAGTGCTTACTGCCGATGATTCTCAAGGTAAGATGAAACTGCTGTCCAGTACTCCCTGTGGCTGGTTTTCAACTCGTAAAAACACAACTAACCCTTACAAACCAAACTATAGAAAAGAAAACAATGGTAATATTTAAGTCTGCAAAATAGGGTGTGTAAAAATTCAACTTATGATCTAGTGATCTGATGAACACAGTTTCCTGTAGGATGATCTGTAGTTTTCTCAGATTTCACCCATGTTATGAAAAAGTAGTCCGTAGAATTAGACTTCTAATACTCATCGAGTACTCAAAGCATTGTAGTATCTATTTATCTATCAAAATTACAATAAGTTTAACGTACTGTCTGCAAATGGTTGCTGAATCCTATTCTACGTTTAATCCTACATGTGGTGAATTGAGAAAGTGTAGTTAGTGTATAAATGCAGTTTTTTTTTAAATATTCTTAGTTTTCAAGAATTCTATGGGTGTGTTTACCTTCTGCATTTTCTTTCAACTTTCTTCTACAGTGTTCTACCACTACTGGATCAACACCTCGTCTTATGCCACAAGAATTATTAAAACGTCGTGTACAATCACAACTTACTAAAGCCTGTAAGTTTATTTGTGTATTTGATGTTTCACTGTAAGAGTACTAGTAGTACTCACTTATTGATTTGGATAATTCTTCATTGACTTGGCCTATGTTATTGTTATTATTATTGTTTCCTTTAGTTCCTAGAGGAATATAGGGCTTCAGCCAAGCGTCTCCATTGCGTTCGGTTCTCTGCCAACGTTCTGACCTGGCTCCAAGTGTGTCCACATTTTATCATTTCCTGTTCACATGAAATCCTCCTCGATGTCACCCTTGCACTGACGACCAACACGCCGCTTCCCATTCCTGTTCCACTTGAGTGATGATCTGGTGTTTGATGTCACTTGATGGTTTGTTTTCTCAGAGTTATGGCCAGCCAATCCACATCCATTTCTTCCTGCTTATGTTTTGCACAATTGGTTTCTGCTCGGTTGGTTCGCTCACTGCCAGAGATCCCTCTCTGGTACTGATCTCTTCCGGTTGGCAATCTGATCTTGAGTATTGAGCGAAGACAGCTAGCTATTGATAAAGGTCTGTAGTTTGTTTGAGATGCTCTTTATGATGCGCCAAGTCTTTGATCCATATAGTAGGTAGCGCTGACTTCACGATGAAGTTGAAAATCCGGATCTGATTTTCATTTTTATGTTGAGTTCTGTTGACCTCTGCAGAAACTTGAGAGTAGTGAAAGTTTGCCTTGCTTTCCCGGTGATCCTCGCTGCTTTGATATTCTCATCAGTTCCGTCCGTCTGTAGTTGAAACGACGATGCTTCCCCAGGTAGTTAGGTAGGTAGGTGAAGGAGGTTTCTTCTTTCTGATTTCTGTGCTGGCTAATTGTTGTCTGTTGTTGTTACTGTTGGCCAGGTTTCTTCATCACCTGTGTTTTCTCTATGTTCACCTGAAGTTGTATCTTCTCTGGGTGCTTCTTCTGTCAACTTGTTGCTTCTCACCTGCATATCTTCGAGTTTGTGGGAAATCAGACATATATATATATATATATATATATATATATGACATTGGCGACGTCCAGATCCCCCAATCTATTTGTGTGGGTCCACTTTATGTCTGTCTCCTCGTTACCCGCCGCTGTCTGTCGCGTTATCCAGTCTACCGCCCACAATCAGGAAAATCATTGGAGGTAGTAGGCAGCCATCTTGTCTTATGCTCATCTTCACTTCGAAGCATTTTGTAAGTTTCCCCGTTGTGGATTACTTGGCATACAGCATTGTTGTACAACTGTTGGATGAGACATCACCTCTCGATCGACACTGCGCTGTCGAAGGCCTTTACGACGTCAATGAAGTATTTAACCTTATTGAAAATTCATTGTTGTCTATATATTTACAGAAGATCACAGAGTCGATTGATATATATCCATGTATATATATATATATATATATCCATATATATATATATATATATATATATATATATATATGTATATATATGGTGGTCTATCTTTCTGTTGCTCTCTTAGTCTGTGACCATTTCACTTTGATGAACCTGTCTCTTTTAACAATGTATATTCCTCTTATATTATATATAATATGTGTGTTTGTTGACAGTCTGTCCTTGGTGATATATATCGATTTAATATGTGTGTTTGTTGACATTTCTGCTATATTTTGCTATATATATATATATATATATATATATATATATATATATATATATATATATATATATATATATATATATATGGATCGATACTCCATTATAATTAGCCAATCATGTTAAGACTGTCTATTGATTGTTCACACACTTGTTTGAACGTTCATATATATTTTGCTCTCACACTATTGTGTGATACATATTTGATTCTCCTGGTGTTTTGGAACATAGAAGTATCATCGCAAAACCTAGTGGTCTTCTGATTCCCGTCTTTCTTGCGTCCGGACTATTAAATTCTCGACCAGTACATAACAATAATTTGGCGACGAGTACCTAATATCGATATACTACCAAAACTTTGACTAGTTTTACTAGCCGCTACTGAGGTCAGAAAAAAAGGAAAGGTTCAGCGTGTGACGCAAGCAGTCATCGCACTGTGTAAAAACGACGTCTGTACTGAAAAAGTGAAAGTGTCTGTGGAGCCCTCTATTGTTGTTTTTTTTGTTTTGTATTTTCGACATACCAGGAAGGAGAAAATGAGTTCACTAGGTTTCTAATTGTGTTAATTTTGAGTTATCCTCAACCATATTTTTATGGTTGTTATTCATTATTGGTTGGATTTAAGGAGAATTTGAATTGATTTCAAGTTAGATTTTTAGTCACAAAGTGGTGACCACTGATGTCTGTACATGGTGAAGTTTGCTTTGAACTCTATAGGATTTGTCTTCTATCGTTATATAGTAACAAGAGAAGACAAGGGCCAGTCAAACAGATCATTTAGTTATGGAAATCAACAGATATTTATAGATTTTCCTGTACATTATCATAGATTATTGTAAGCAAGCAAACACAGTCTTCTGATTGGTGGTTTCTCACTGAACGTTAGTCTTTCATCTCTTTGTGATCGTTTATTGAAGTTCAGATTATCTATCTGCAAATTGTATCCGCCTACGCAAAGTCTTCTGTGATTGGTTGTTGAGTCAATCTTTGTTCTTGTTCTTTTCTTCTCATGACCAATATTGGGGACGTAAACATTGACGTAAATTACTGTCTACCAATTCTGGTTAGTAGCCAGCTCTCACTACAATATTAGCCCATCTGTTGATCGCTTCTAATAACCTACTTCTTCTTCATGTCGCTTCACTTCTCCTTCTCACGGAACAGTTACACCGTTTACTGAAGAATAAAGCTGTATGTGTTGTATGTCTTCATCTCTACCTTGTGCTTCGTTGTTATTTGTCTTCTCTGTTTATTTTCAAGTATTGGTTTATTATCTGTTTATTACTATCACACACATACACACACGCACATACCCCTCCTCCTTCTTTGGATGTCATAATAATAACAATTTTTCGGATTAAGTTGTATTAATTCTTTTTTTTAAGGTTAAAGGGCAAAACAATTTTACCTCAAAACCAGTGATACCAATCGTAGTTTCATATATATATATATATATATATATATGCAGGTGAGGTGGGAAAACACTAAACAAAATTCAGATTTTCTTCTCCAGTTCTATGCTAATCATACTTCATAGTTTTTTACTTAACGAATTGAAATGGTAGGTCATATTAAGGCAGGTTAATAATATGCAATGGATTCAGGATGATCAAGAATGCTCTGACCTCGAATGAAGGCTCACTATATCACCTTGGTGGATTGAAACTCGCGACGAACCCTAATCCGGTGTACTTGAACTTAATCCGAACTGAATTCAGCCACTTAGGAATTGACCTGTTGTCAGGGAATAATCTGTCTGTCTGTTTTCGACATAGAACTTTGCACATATGTGCACCGGTTCAAGTCGCCACACTCCCTCCTTGTAGGACACAAAGCAACAGAAGAAAGTAAAAAGAAATGCATAATAGAGACAGTAAACAGAGGTGTGAGACAAAGAAATAGAAGTAACGAAGAATAATGTATAGTTTTGTTGGGTATTATAAGTCACAAGGAGTGAATGCATCTGTACCAGCCATTGAGAACGAGGATTTTGAGTCATATCACCGATTGTCTCCACTCTTGATTGGTGTTTATCATTCCAAGGATCCCAACCAGGAAGTCTACATCTTCCTATGTGGCTGACTTAAATTGACTGTTGTGGATTTCATTAAGTAATGAGGCCGTGTTTTGCTTTGACCACCGCTAGCTCTTTTCTAGCCTGACCCTATGCCAGCTAACATTGCCCGTTGAGGACGCCGATGACTAGTCATACGTAACACATGTCCTAACCATCTCAGTCGATGTAGCTTCACAGCCTCGTCTATTGATTTCCCTTCCTGCTTACCTAGCACTCCACCGAGGCCTAACCTCAATATTGTTACCCTGTTATACCACTTCACACGGGAGACAGAACGCAGGTACCTATGATCGAAGACAGCTAGCCAGCCTTTTCATGTCTTCCACTCTCAATGGCCAGGTCTCACAGCCAGCCATTAAAGGAGGACGGAGTGGACTGCTGAGCAGTACACACGCCCTTTGGTCGATATCCAGCCGGATATCACGTCTACTAAGCCAGAGACGGCATAAACTGGCATATGCGAAACTAGCCCTCCGTATCCGTGCTGAGATTTCGTCAGAGATCAACTTGTTGGGGCTGATGACGGAATAATCTTGGATTATATAGTCCTGCTCCCAGGTGAATACTCTAATAAAATAGAGCAGACTCTTGTGAACACCTGTGCGTCGGTGGCACAGTGGTTAGGACTCTCACCGACCATGCACATGGTCCGAGGTTCGATCTCCTGCTGACGCACACCTGATATTTATGGTCGGCCTGCGAAATTCGGGCTACCGATATCACATACTGGGAATTTCATATTTGTACCAAAAATACGGTGTGGAATCTATCTGTAATCAAAATAAAATTCATCAATCTTCTAATGCTTGGCATGCGATTCGCTTCTATCAGTCGTATGTAGGATTGTGCTACGAGACTGAACTACATTGACCCCTAGCTTAAAGATATAGATAGTGAAACAGTGACTGAGCTTGTCGACCGCCACTTCACTTATTTAGTAATTTGCATAAGCCCCGATGGGCTGAATGATTGCTAACGTAATCACACAAGGATTGTGTGATATTTGCCTGTCAACTTACGCCATCTTTAGCTTACTTGACGTGATATACAGCCGGCTATCGACAAAAAGACGTGTTTACTTCACATCAGCAGTTTGTTTCCTCCTCTTTTATGGCTGCGAGTGAGACGAGACATGGCTATTGAAAGCGGAAGACATGAAAAGGCCGGCTAGAGTTGTCTTTTATCACATGTGTCTGCATTCTTATCTCAAGTGTTACGTGGTACATGTAATAGAGAGTTAGGCAGGCAATGAGAGGAAGTCAGTCGACAAGGTTAGGTGGTTAGGAAATGTGTTATGCATGCATGTCTAGCCATCGATAGCCTTCCCCGATGGGCTATGCTAGCTGATTCTCATTGGATCAGCTTGGAGAAGAACTAGTTAGTCAGTGGTAGTGAAATGGGCAAAGTTAAACTTTAGACACCACTAACAACCAATCAGCAAGCGATCTTGAACGAACCAATTACATTAAAAAGGCATATATGATGAATGGAAATGTATATTTATAGAAAAAAAGCACAAAATAGAGAATAAAAAAGTTACATGGGATATCTTTCTCGAACATGTGAGAGAAACATCTCCCAGTTTAGCATGGGACTGTCAATGCTTTTCCATCTGCTATCCTTTGGACGAATCCCTTTCGGAGGGAGGTGTCATACAAACCTATTACCCAAATATTGTTCTCACGCTGGCGACCACGGTTGTATTTCTTTTTTACCAGCACTCTCTCATCTACACGCACGATAACGTCTTCCCCACCCAGCAAACAAGTGATTTTCCCCATTTTCCATGATGCGATGTCTCTGCAGTGCTGGTACCACTGAACTGTTGAGACATGGCTATTCTCCATCTCGGCAGCTGCTGCTCTCACAGCCTGTTTCAACACCCATTAGTTGCAGATATACAAAATCTGAGTTAGGGGGAGATGCGACCTAGAGAAAGTAAGTTCCTACGAAATATTAAAATTATCAGCTTACCCTCTCCAGATGAACAAACCCATCACTTGATTTGGTATAGCTTTTTAAAGTAATGATACCACCACACAAACAAATTCGCTCTTTCCGGAGCAACTCAAATCCAGGAAATACTGGAAAACAATAACCTCCTCGAATTGCAACTGTAGCCTTGTAAGGTCACGCATTAGAAATGAATCAAGCGCTATACAACATTGAACTGCGTTCGTGAACCTCATTGGATAATTCGACATCGTTCGTGAATCTCATTGGATAATTCGCTGATTGGTAGTAAGTGGTGTCGAAAGTTTAACTTCGCCGTGAAATGGCTTCATCAGTCAATGAAATCTATAAGAGTTAGTTCGAGCCAGCCAACCACGTAGGAATGTATAGACTCCATCGTTTTTTGTAGTCTTCGCGATTATAAAAACTGATGAAGGCTGGGGATGGACAATTGGTGAAATGGCTCAAAATCCTCGTTTTCAGTGACTGGCGGAGATGAGCTCATTCTCTGTGATTCGTCATATCTAATAAAACTATTGTGCTTGTTGTATATTACTATTCCTTTCGCCTCACTCACAACACTTCTGTTTATTATCTCTCTTTTGGACCTCTATTTACCATCTTTTCTCGCCTTGTGTGGTCCATGGAGGGTGTGTGGTAGGTGTGATCTACTGCCAATCTATGTCAAAGTTCTATGTTGAAACTAGTCAGTCAGTCAGTCAGATGAATATACTTGCTTCAGTACCTCTTCGTACGACTGTATTTAACTGTCAAATCACCATCGACTTCATGATAGCAGAATTTTATATATATGTCAGGAAATTCTACCAGCCGAATACAAGTGTTTCTACAGATACAACCGCTGACAAAAACATTTTTAGGCATACTGATCTCCACTACATTAAATTTAAAATTATATCAGCTTCATTGTTTGTATTCAAGCCTATTTTAAACTGCCAATGCCAGTTTCAGTAAGCTGTTCACTTTGAACCAATCAAGCTTTGAAAATACGGTTGTGTATTTGTTAAATTAATTTTATTTGGCCACAGGATGTAGTTGTGCGTCGGTAGCACAACGGTAAAATGCTCGCCAACCACGCATGAAGTTCGGGGCTCGATCACTGGCCAACGCACCACTTTGCCTCGCCAAGCCATTACTAAGACTGGTAAAGACAGAAGGTCGGACATGAGGCTAACAACTCCATCCTGTAAAAATAGACACCATTGCTACTGGAACTTGAAGTCTCTAGCTTGGAGCCCTATGTTCCACTGAAGAACGTGAAGGAATAAAAAAAAACAGAATGTCGTCATGAGCTGACATCATTTAGAGAACCGTTGGAAGACCTGCAAGGAGTTATGGACAGCTGTTTCACCAACCTAGTTGGGGAAAAGTTCCCCACTACAGGGGGTTTGAACCTAGGACCTTCCGGTCACAAGGCCAGTGAGTTCGTAGACAATTGAGCCACTGTGGTCCGACCCGATCCAATGGTGTTAGTCCATGAATCCGAACTTCAGCCAATAATTCACAATACAGCACGACCACTAGCTAATGTCATCGGTGTGGAGTATTTGTCGTCGCCCCGCCCCCTTACCTGTTGTAACCTACTGGTCTTCCCCAGGTAACTACTACTTATCGGAATAGTACAAGTGTCTAGAGAGCATTAGATTGTTATTCAAATGTTGATGGTTTGTGGGGATTTGATTGGTGGACGGACAGGATGCTGTAACCAATTTGGATTGTATTCATTCAGTAGTTATTCCCATATAATTTGTATGCTGATTTTAGCAATATATCCACTGTTGTATACCAAATTCCTCTTTCTATGCAGTTTAGCAATTGTATTATGTAATATATGTGTATATTTCTCTTGACAAAATTCTCTCTTATGTTTTAGTTAACGCTGATAAAAAGGCTGAAATGGAGAAACAACTTCAATTGGAAGCAGAACGTCAGGTAATGAATACTCTTCATCAAATTATCTCGTTGTGTTTTGCTTATATATTTGTCACGGTGATTAATTGCCCTGAGATCTGTTTTTCACTAAGCTAAATAAAAGTAATAATATTAATGCAACCATTTATACTCTATATCATTACGTCATAGCTTTGGATATAACTTCCCCTGTTTCAGTTTAGCTGACCTGTATAGCAATATTGAGGTTAGGCGTCCAGTGAGTGCTAGGTAAGCAGGAAGGGAAATCAATAGACGAGGCTGTGAAGTTACAACGACTTGAAGTGGTTAGGACATGTGTTACGCATGTCTAGCCATCGCCTTCCTCGTTGAAGGGCAATGTTGGCCGATGTAGGGTCAGGCTGAAAAAGAGCTAGCGGTGGTCAAACCAAAACATGGCCTCATTAGTCAATAAAATCCACAACAGTTAGTCTACGCCAGCCAACCAGCCACGTAGGAAGGTCTAGACTGGTTGATTGACTGGTTCGGATCCTCGGGACGGTGAAAACCAATGGAGGCTGGAGACGATCGGTGACATGACTCAAAATCGTTGTCAATAGCTAGCGCAGATGCATTCATTCCTTGTGACTTATAATTTCCAATGAAAATATTTTGTTCTTCGTTATTACTATTCCCTTGTCTCACACTTCTGTTTACTGTCTCCATTATGCATTTCATCTAATTTCTTCTTTTGCTTTGTGTCCTACAAGGAGGGCGTGTGGCAACTTGAACTGTTGCACATCGGTGCAAAGTTCTATGTCGAAAGCAGACAGACCTGTGTAGCATGGTAATTCGACTACATTATACCCGCCAATTGACATGTCCAAAATGATCGGAAAACTGAACAATCGTTTTGTTAGTTTTAAGAAAATCAATTACAGACGACAGTTGAAGTGTTTGAATCACCTTCATATGACTAATGACCGCTTCTTGGTTCTGGTACAGAGGATTTGCAGTAGTTATTATCATTTAGGCGCTTTTTTGGGGGTGGGGGTGTTCACTGGTAGAATGAATACTCGCCAACCGCACTCACACGCCTAATCTGAGGTTCGATCTCCAGTCGGCTCACTCTTAAACGTCGCGTAGTTTACTACTAGTCGGTAGAGTAAGCTAGGAGAAGAGAGAAGCTTGAACGTGAGGTTGTAAACCAAATAAAGTATAATTGTATTTTAATAGTTTACACACAATGATAAGTTTTGTTATTGGTAATATTTCGAGCAAAATTACTGCCCGTGTTCTCACCACTGTTGGAATTGTTTTATTCACACATTTATGATTTGTACTCATATATATATAGTTCATTATTATTATTGTTTTGCTCATTCATGTTTTGTGTGTGCATTTGTGTGTTCAGAATTATACTCCACATTCATTCATGTGTTTGTATTTAGAATTATATTCCAAGTTGTTGATTATTATTTATTTATTCATTTAAACGCGTAAAAAACTTGGTACAATATGGCACCAAGAAAGATGCGCCACACAATAATAATAAAACAACATAGATCAAAAAAAGGAAGGAAGGAAAAGAAAAAATATATATAAGTAGAGAACGGATAAAGAACTTCATCTGGAAGGAAAACAGTCATGCTTAACAAGTTCAAACAGTGTTCGTTAGCTATCATCGGGAAGGGAAGAAAGAAGGAAATCACAACACATTCGCCACTGATTACGATTCTTGGCCATATCCGATAACGTTTCGAGCCATCGATTTGAGCTATCTCTCGGACCCCAACCAGGGAGTCGTGACACACCAACCGATGCTAATCTAGCACAAAAATCCTTCATCCCACGACGCCACGTCATGGACTGACCACCTCTCCGCCTTTTCCATCCCGTCCCAGGGCTAGCGAACAGAGACCTGTACGGAAGCCTCTGGGGTGACATTCGGAGCACATGTCCAAGCCACCGGAGCCGGTGTTTCCAGATGACGACATTCAATGAATAGTGATCTCCACTTTGTTCAAACACACGCCGCCGAACCTCAGAATTACTCACGCGATGATGCCATCGAACGCAAGCAATCCTGCGGAGACAGCGGTGATCGAACACGCAGAGTCGCCGCACATCCTCAGCTCGGAGAGGCCAGGTTTCACAGGCGTAGAGCAGGACAGCTCGCACCGAAGCATTGTATACCCGACCTTTGACAGCCAGGCTAACGTCGCGACGGCGCCAGAGGTGGCTCAAGTTGATGTATGCCACCCTAGCCTTCATTATACGGTTGGAAATCTCATCCGTCACCCCTCCGCCAGCACTCACACAACTACCCAGGTACACAAACTTATCAACAACTTCAAGCGGTTCACCCGCAAGAGTGAGTGCAGGTACAGGCTCCTGCCAATCTTGTAACAGTACTTTGCACTTAGACGGCGCAAAGCACATACCATACTTACAGACACTGATCGCCAACTGATTAAGTGCGATTTGGGCAGCCTGCATGCTATCGCACAGTAAGACGATATCGTCTGCATACTCGAGGTCGAAAAGTCTATCTCCAGGTAGCAGATCTACACCACCTTCACGCACATCCTTCAGAGCTGACTCCAGAATGTCATCGATGGCAAAGTTAAAGAGAAATGGAGAGATTGGGCAACCCTGTCTAACCCCACTGTTGGTTGGGAACAGTGGTGATAGTTGGTTGTATGCCCTCACTCTACCTGAGGTGTTTCTGTATAGGGCTTTCAGGATGTTAACAAATTTCTCAGGTACACCTCTCTCTAACAGACAGTTCCAGAGCACAGTTCTGTCCAACGAATCGAAGGCAGCCCTAATATCAAGAAACACAACGATCGTTGGCCTGCAATACGTGTGGCGGTGTTCCAACAACTGACGAAGGGTGAACACATGATCAATGCATCCACGACCTGAACGAAACCCAGCCTGCTCTTCGCGAATCAATCCTTCACGTATTTTGCACAGTCTGCGAAGCAAGACAGCAGCCAATATTTTAGACGCGACTGGTAACAGACTGATACCCCTATGATTGTCACACGAATTACGTCGACCCTTTTTAAAGATGGGGACGATAATGGCTTCGTTCCACATTGATGGTACACTCTCTGTCTCCCACACCTTCCTGAACAACCCAGTTAGAGCCATTGTGAGAGTCTCGCCACCATCTTTAAAAAGAGCCGGGGGTAATTTGTCTGGGCCGGGCGCCTTATGGCGTTTCAGAACTTGGAGTTCCTTACGGACCTCCGCTTCGGTGGGTGGGTCGGTACTAACCGACCAAGGAGCACTCGGGCTAATGATAGTAGACACTGAAGCTGGTGGCCAGCTGAACTGCTTCCCGAAGTGCTCTGCCCAGCGTTCCAGGCGTCTTTTCAGGCTGGTAATTGGAGTGCCATCTGCCTCACAGACCGTCTCGCTGACACCTTGTTTCTTGCTGCCGGTGGCTCGTATGAGTTGGAACAGCTTCCGACTGTTGCCAGATGCAGCAGCTGACTCCATCTCACACGCACGTTCTGACCACCAGGCTTCGCGGTCCTTACGTAAACACTGTCTAATCTTGCGCGTGAGCGCCTTTCGCTGATTGTTGTATTCGCTGCCAGCCGGAATGGACCGGCGTTCATCCATGAGTTGCAAGGAACTCGCAGAAACCCAGTGGTTGTTAGCGGAGCATTCTTTCAAGCCGCAAGCGGCTACACTCGCCTTTTGCATGGCACCTTGCACATGAAGCCAATGTTCATCTATACTACTTGGGGGGTTGCTGGCAAGCATTGTTTTTAACTCATTCTGATATTTCAAAGAAGTAGCAGGTGCTACTAGTTTGCTCACATCAACGCTTAGACGACGGCTTTTACGAACCCCACCAAATCGCAAGACGAACTTGGCACACACTAACGCATGATCGGAGTCCAGGCATGTGCTCCAGAAGGAGCGACAGTCTTGTATGCATCCCCGCCACCGGAAACTGACCGCGATATGATCAATCTGAGTCCAAGCTTGCTTCGCAGAGGGAGGACGCCAGGTAGCGCTACGGCGATGGCTGTGCCGGAAGTTGGTGCTAGCTAGAAATAGGTTGTGATCCGCGCAAAGCTGCAGAAGACGGTCCCCATTATCTGACCTGCGACCATGTAGTCCCCACTGACCACCTAGACGATTCTCCTCTGAGCTTAGACGCCCCACCTGTGCATTCAAGTCCCCAGCCAGCACTACGATATCCCTCCGACCCGCCTGTTTCAAGAGATCGCTCAGTTGGTAGTAAAACTCATCCTTCATTGCATCCGGGCTGCAATCCGTCGGTGCATAGGCAGAGACAACAAATAGACACCGCCTATCTGGCCTACTACTCTTTACTTTCGTATAACCTTCCAGCCTCACAGCACATAAACGACTGTTAATGGGAATCCAGTCGAGCAGTGCAGCTTCGGCTCTAGCGCTCAGTGCGACACCGACACCAGCTACGCCGGATGCCGACGCCACAGGGTCCCCGGATAAGCGCAGGTGGTACATACTACTAGAACTTCCAGATGGAGAGGATAGTCGAAGCACTTCACTGGGATCTTGAATGCGGGTCTCCGAAATGCAGCAGACATCGATAGCGAGGCTTTCCAAAGTTCTTGCCAACCCTGCCTGTTGTCCGATTTGCATCAGCGTCCGAACATTGTAGGTAGCCAGCTTGAACGCAGCACGCGGTTTCAGGATATCCGTGTTAGATGTCACATTGGGAACAACCATTTTGAGGACTACTCACTAACATCTCGAAACGACACGGATAGGCTGGGAATCTCGACAAAGGCGAAAGGCTGTCGAAGGTTAAGAAGCCAAGGTTAGAAAAGGTACAATACAGGAAACTATGTATAAAAATAAAAGTAGGGTAGGAAGGAAATAAGTTCCTTGAGGGATCAATATTGCTTGGAATCATTTTAACTAGCGCGTTGAGTTTCAATGGGAGTTCGTTGCTTTAATTCATTCATTGTGTGCGGGCTGAGATACTGCCCGGGCGCCCAGACCGAAGCAGGTGGCTTTATTAAGGGACCACCCCCGAGCCTTTGACTTGG